TTGAGTGGTGATTAAGTGAGTATTTTGTACTTTCTGTTTTTCATTTTTAATGTATGTAATTTAAATAATGTCCAGTTAAGTACATAAATTAGACAATAATGTATTTATGTTGTGCTAAGGCGCTTTCACAGAGTCAGCAAAAAATACGTATATATAGTGAATATCTGAAACGAATGCAGCTTCCTGACAAAGTGAGTGGCATGATAACCCGCTCTCTGTGTGAGTGGGGGCAATTTCCATGGCACATGCATACACAAATATATATACGAGTATATATATATTTACGGCGGTCTGGCATGAAGTCACCATCACAAAAGTAGCATCAAGAGCAGGAGCAGGAGTACGAGTAGGAGCAGGAGCAACAGCAACAAACAGCAAACAACTCAACCCAGCCCCTGAGAGGCGCCCACAATGTCGCTACTTAAGCTGCTCTACGTGCGCAAAGGACATATACGCAAATAACTGCGGGATGGCTTTTAATTATCTCGTTATTTTTTAATTTCCAGCATTTCACTGATTTCATTTTGAGCACACGGAGCGCAACGGGCGGTCGGCAGTCGTCGTAAATGTCACCAATCCCAATCCGAATCACAATCCCATAACCCCTTCTCACTGATAGCTTTGGGGGCCAGTTAATGGCAATTGAATGCTGGCTAGATGCAATTTTCTTTAAGTTGCAACTAATTGTCAGACTTTAAGTGAGCTTTATCTAATTTGTGAACGCTGTAATGAGCCCGACTTTAAAGCCCCACAAAAGCCCCAGTGTAAGGTGAGACGAAAAACAATTAACTCGTCTACCCCTAAAAAGGGAAAAAAAATCACCCCGCACGTCAACGTCAAATTAGTTTGGGGATTAACACGTTTTTAGCATGTCCTGGCAGCAAAACAGTGGCAGTTGAGGGGGCGGGGCGGGGGGACGGGTGAGCGATGAGCAGGAGGAAGGTGTGCTTAATTACGCATATGACACGTTGGCTGGCAGCCCTAAATTTTACTAGCAAGAATCCCTTGCTCAGTTGGGCATAAAATGGGTTTATAGTTACCAATTATTTTCAAGTATTTGAAGTATGTTTTATTTTTGGTCAAGGCAAGGAATTTATTCATGATTAACAAGTGAAACTAAATAAAGTGTCTCATTTTAGACAGACATTGTCCGGTTTTTGTTGTTGTTTTTCTTTTTTTTACCGTTCAGTGCGTGACTTGCTAAAGAATACTGCGATTATATGCATTTAAAATAAAGTTGGCCCGAATTGAGAAAGTTTGCTGGCAGCCAGCAGCTACAAACCAATAGGCTTCATTTCGCTATTGTCATGTTTTCTGGCCGCTGCCATATATATATATATGTATATATATATATATATAAATTTATATATATAAACAGCAATATCTTGAAGCTAAAATCACTGGTACAATGAGCGTATTGTCTGAGCTCGAAATTTAATGCTTACGTGACTGAAATATTGAGCCTTCGTCGACTGTGGCATGAAAGAGAATGGCAAATGTTGCAAAGTATTGAGCCACATAGGAGTAAACGCATCGATTTCGAGCAGAGTTCATAAATAAACGCAGCCAAACCTCTACTTGGCTTAAAATAAAAGTTGCTGCTGCACAAAATAAAGTCCAGCACAGCAAAATAGTTATAAAAAAAAGAAAATAAAATGCAATAAATTGCCCTGCATTGAAGAAAATCTTTTGCTGATTTACCCGCTGCGCCTTGAGAGAGGCAACAGCCACTAATAAAAGTTTTCACATTTCGCAGGCGTTGATGTTTGCTTGTACGGCAACACTTTCAATACGACTGCAAATGTACTCACACAGCGCAACAAACAAACATACAAATAAAAACTACCAAACTCATTCGAATGCCGTTCAATTTCGAGAATTTTTGGTTTTTGTGGAATTTCAACAGCGAATGGCTATCAACCGAAAGCAGCCAGCAGCCAGCAGCCATCGTCCAGTTTTCAGGCTTATCCAACTTCTCAACTCATGTTCGACGGAGATCTTAATTTGGCACTTCAATAATGAGATTTAAATTGAAGAGCGACTGATTGGCTTTATGAAGCCTTAGTTAAATAGAAGCATGTTTTATATTCTGCACGAATGACATTAATCAGTTTCAGCGTAAAATTAACAATTTCTTACAAGACTTCAAACTATCATAAGAAAAAGATTTAAATATATATATATATATAAGCATCTAAAATAATATAATAATAATAATGATAATGGTTCACTCTTAAATAGTATAAAATATTGGGTCTAAAGTACTTAACTTCCAGCTATCAACTCGCTTTCCAAATTAGACCACGTGGCGCCATCTAGTGACTTTTTCAAAGTGAGTCTTTGAACCACAAAAAGTGTTGCCAAGTGTGCAATAAAACGTTGGCTTGCAAGCAGTGCAAATTATCTACACAGCTGGTAAGAAAGCAGTTTATTATTTGAATTTAAATTTAAAAATGGAATCAGTGACAGAATTAAAGAAAGAACAAATTGATATCAGACAGTTTAAATTAATTAATCATAATAATGTATCTGTTCTGAAGGCAGTGTAAAAGCCGTAAGTTCAGTTCGCAATTAAGGACAAAAACAATTACATGTAAATTTCAAAATTTACCAACGGAACTTAGAACAAAAGGGAACTATGCAAAATCAACTGAATTCTTGCAATAGAATAATTGAATCAATCCTACATTCATGATTGATATATGTAGCTAGCAAGCAGTATCACCTACCTGGCAAATGGAAACCCTATAAGTTTTGGCAAGCTTATATTTTTATTTCCTGCTTTAAAGCTTTCGATTGTATAATCCGTTTATATTGCTACACAGTTGTCATGAAAGAAACGCAATTAAACTGGATAAGTGACATCCAGCCAATACAGCGTGCTGTGAAAACCACTCAAGAAAGTAGCTGTCAGCGGAAGTAAGTTTTTGTTTACTAGCAAGCAAATATTCAATTAGATGTTTGTTGCCGAGACAAATTGATTTATTTGCGCACAATATCACCCAAGGGGCCCCTGACAACAGACAACAGTCAAGCTATACCAATTGTATAAATACAATAAGAACTCTGCACTTCGGCAACAGTCGCTGCAGAACCAGTTTTCAGCAAACAAACCCGCCGCCAACACCAACACCAAAATCAAAAAAAAACCATCACATCGAATTCGCAACAAACCCACAACCGCGCCAACCACCAAGTACCGCTGTCAGATCACTTAAGATCTTAACTACCGGTGAGTCTCGAGCACTCGAGTTTTGTGTACGTCACCAAATCAATTAGGCAAGAACTGCTGTCAGTTCAAGTGTCACACCCACCAACTGCATGTGACGTATACGACATGTTTAACACTCAATTCACATTACTCATACGTGCGGCGCGTGTTGGCAATTAGCTTATAAAATACATATAAAGTGCAATCAAATCGTTTAGTTGACATCAAATTAGCATAACTTGAAATTTTCCCACGATTTACATAGCTGACTAGTGAATATATAATTACAAGCGTTTTGTTTGAGCAAAAACTGTACAAATTGATTTTAAAAAGTGCACAACAAAACAACACAGATCTGTTATCAGCGTTGTGCCGAAGATAAAATACTCTGCCGATAGATGACACAGCTGATTTAAAGCAACTGCATTTGGAGGCTTACTTAAAACATTATTTTCCAAACGATTGCTTGAAGGGGAGTTGATCTATATAGAACATTTTGAAAGACTATACAAATTTGTGGCTTAAGAAAAAACATTTTTTAAAAAAAAGAATTAAATTTTGCATTGATCCTTTCCGAGATATCTACAATAATGTTATGCCAATTTAGCGAGATGTGAAAGCGAATTCAGTTCGCCATCTACATAAATAAGTTTTTTTTTGTATTTCCAATGAGCGATGCAATTGCGAATAACACTCCTTCCGCAAGGGTATAAAAACAATGTGACGATACCCGCTGACAGGCTGCCAGACAGCGTGTAGCCGCAAGCCGTAATGTAATTTGGTGCTAAACCAGTCGTTGGCAGCAACAGCAGCAGCAGCGGCTGCAGCAGCAGCCATGTGTCCGGTTGGGACAAAAGAATTTTACGCAATTTATTGGTTTGTAAATTATTATTATTGTTGTTCTGGCTCCGGCTCCGGCGCCGGCGCCAACGACGCTGTCCAACTTTGTGCTACGTTATACGATTTGAGCTGCAGTTACAGCGCCATTAATTAATGAGTGATCAGGCGATCGAACGACCAACAACTTGGCCTCATTCGATTTGCATTAATTACAATTTTAACATATGACATCGGTTGCAGTTCGGCTGAGTCCGTTTCCTGTTGTTACTTTCCATATGATTTTCACTTTCTTTCAGTGAGCCGGTGAATTTTAATTCATTTGTTCTTGAGAGTGGGGAATTTTTTTCGATGGATTTCTTCTCAAATTATGAATAGATAAACCAGATTAAAGATCACCTCGTCTAAACTTTAAAACGCATTTTACATATCGAAAAACCTTCTCAAAAATAAAATATGTAAACGAAAAACATTTAATTTCCCATTAGCTTGTCTATTAAAATGCCACAATATCTGATTATCTATATTATTATGCAAAACTAAACAAAGACTCTCGCGACTCCTCTAACAATTCCTTAGTAGCCTTTATGAAATGAATAAACAAATCCAACACATATCATTTGCATAGGGAACAATAATAATAATAAGCAAATTGCCATTTTATTGAATTTGTTTTGATCTCGTTTTTATTTCTTTTTGTACAAATATCTGACGTACTCCGGACTCTCGGAGACCGGCTTGAAGCGCTTATTGTTGTTGCTGTTGTTGTTGTTGTAGCCGCTCTGAACCGTTTCAGACTTCTTGACGTTGTTAAGCTTTCGCATCTGCGTTTGGGTCGCGTCGCCTATAAAATAACAAGAGACAAACGTACGTTTAATTATTTCAACATCGCACTTGGCGCACAACGGTCGCATATGCTACTTTGCACGTATTAAAAGTACAAAATTTAAAAGCAATTTATACTCTATATTCATTTGACAGAGAGCCTGACCATTGCAACCATGTGCACCAATAAGAATCTGCTGCTAATAAGCATTGTGCTGACTGCTCTTTGTCTGCTTCAGTTCGGTGAGGCGATTCCCTCCATAGGACACTATGGCAAGCGTTTTGGTAAGCGAGACGAGGATATGGCATCTGAGTAATATATAACTTTTCATTAATTGATATCTATAGATCCCATGGGCGGCATTGATTTTATACAGATTTGTCTGAACAATTGCGCCCAGTGTAAGAAAATGTTTGGCGATTACTTCCAGGGCCAAACCTGTGCCGAGTCCTGTCTCAAGTTCAAAGGTAAAGCGATACCCGATTGCGAAGATCTTGGCTCTATAGCGCCGTTCATCAATGCGCTCGAGTAGAGGCTGGACAGATGTATCCGTCTCTTAAAACTGTATATTTATGTGTGTGTGTATGTGTTTGTATGCGGGCGTGTATTTTTATCGCCGGTGTGACTCAAACGAGTTTTTGGGTCACGGCGATGCGAGGTGATGCGATACGATGCGATGCGATGCGATGCTCAACACAATCTTGGATGATGACGACCACGACGATACTGAAACTGAAACTGGCGTTAACGATATACGAATTAATGGCTTTAACTAAAACACTTAACAAAGAGTTTCCGGCAGACCTCAGCACGTTATCAAAGAAGTTCCTATAGTACTTACTTACCAACCTATAGTTATAATAATAATCAACATTAAATAATTAACAGAATTTAAACTACTATTCATACATTGTTTTATTTTTTTAATATTTTTTTTAATTTTATTTAAATGATATCTTTTGCATATACAAAACTTACAACGAAATATTCATATATTTTAATATTATCCAAGGTCTTGTGTGTTTTATTGACGGCCTTCTTTTAACTTACCCTGTATTTTTGCTATTTTAAAATAATACATATATACAAAAAAAATGTATGGATAATGCATGGAAATGTTGGAAATCACTATAGAAAATGGCAGTGTGAAACTACAACAGACAGGCTTAAGGATGCTTTTCAAGCGAAAGATGCGTTTCAGTATTGATAGTAAAGACTAGGTATAGTTAGTTTCTAAGTGTCGATGGTTGGTGCAGAATGTAGAACTGGGAAATGTATGCACAGGATTTAAAGTTGTCTTCATTGCCAAATGTATAGAGTTATGCGAAAACCATTCAACCAAATGATTTTCTTTATTTTCTAAAGTTGAGCAGCGTGTCGGGAATTTCATTGATATAGTTCTGGAAGTGAACAAACGCATATTAGTACAATTTAAAGTACTCATATATGTATCTATTTCGAGCTCAAAATTTGCTCCTGCTTACATAGACAGACGAGTCCACACCATGACCCCCAAAGTCTGCCCATTTGCTCAGATCGATAGAGGGTATAATGCCGCTCTTGCATGGCACGCGTGGATTACTGATAAAAAAAAGTGTTAAATTAGTTCACATTCAAGTAGCAAAATAAATCAACTTACATTTCATGATCGGGCAAAACCATTGGATAGATTTGAACGGTATCAATCAAATCGGTATTGTCACAAATCAAACGGGAGAGTTTCGCCTTGCGTATCTCCTGCAACTGTTCGGGCGTAAAGGACGATGGCTGATTGGGCAACTCATACCAGAAGCGATCGCCGCGTCGCAAGTAGCTCATCTGTGTGGCAATCACACAAGCAAATGTCGGTCCCAGCATGGAGCCAGGCAGTGACTTCTCCGACACACCACCAGACCACAAGTCAATGTCACCAGGATGCCTAATGAACAAATAATTGAATAATGGACTATGGCTGTGCACTTGTCTAACTAATTCTTACTCGAATATGCTGCCATAACGCAACACAGTCTCATTGGGCATGGAGCCGTACATCTCGTCCCAGGTATTGGAGGTGGGCAGTCCGCAGAACTTGCGGAACTCCATATAGCCGGGTATTCCGAATTCACGGCCACGTTGCATGTTGAATGAGACGAGGTCCATGCCGAAGCGGGCGCCCTCCTTCTTAAACAGATGATTGGTCACCTCTTGGGTAATGGAGTCATCCATTGCTTGTGCCACCTGATTCATCAGACCCATAAAGTATTCGTCCAGTACGCCAGCTCTATACAAATCATAGGGACGACGAATCAGGTCCGACAATCGCTTGGAGGCTATAAATTTGTGTGCCTTTGACCAGCGCTCCACAGCAGTGGGCAGCAGAGAATGCCCAAAGCGGAAAGCAGCACCAGCAAATGAGTCAATTATGCCCGGATTCACAGTCGACTCATATCCGTCCCAGTAGCCATCCTTCTGCAGCACCAGGCCAAACTTCTCCATCACCTCCTTACCCAGCAAAATGGGTAGGAACTCATTATATGTCACATGCTGCACAATGGCAATATTGATGCGTCGTGCCTCCTGGAACAACGTCTCGTCATCCCAGTGCTGATTGACCTGCGATAGTCCGGTGGCCAGACGATTATGCTCCCTCGCCATTAGCGTGTGCATACAGGTTAGCACCAGTTGCTCATTGACGCGAATCTCGCCACCCTCAAAGCAGTACATGCTCTTATTGGGTCGTGTGCAGCCCTCATCGGGAATGTCCAGCTTAAGAGGCAGCAAATCCTTCAGGCCATACTCCTGGAACACAGGATTCATGCGCATCAGACCGCCATAGCCAGTACGCAGTTTGCGTGCAAACGATTCCTTAACACCATAGACAGTGTTGGCATCAATGACACCAGTCAACGTATTAAATTGCTGGCGAGAACCTAAAAATTAAATCAAATTTTCAGTTTGAAATTTGTTGATTTGCTTGAAATTAATTTGATTTTGTTTAATGAATGTTTTCCCGAGTCAGCATAAATAATTGAATATGGCAAATAACCAGTTGACTCACCCAAGCGACAGCCTGGCCTCGGCGATGGGAATCCACGCACGAAATCAATACACTTGACATTAAAGAGGCGATAGAAGTAATCGTCATCGGGGATGCGTATCTCATTACAATATGGATGCTTCAGATGTAGGGGACGCTTGCAGCACTCCTCTGGATCGTTGCGATTGACGGGATCTGTAATTGGAGTGAATTGCTCTTTAAAGCTGTTCGGATCGCACAGTTGCTCGACCTACCCAAAGGTGTGCCCGTCAGCGTAAAGTCGTGATCCATGAACTGACCCCAGGCAATGACCATAACGGTGCCGGCGTGATCATGATACCCATCATCGGGATGCATTGTGCGCGAGACCACACGCGAATAGGGCAAATCGCGACCGGTTAACGAAATGCGCGGTGCGTTGATGCCATCCGCGTAGAGTGGGCCAATCAGACGCTGGAACGGTGAATTGGCCGCACCCCAAGTGGGATGCTCGATATTGTTGCAGAGGCCATCAAAACGACGATATTTTCCCGGTCGGCACTCGACGCCGGCAAAGAACGGCGGACAGACCTCACGAATCAGCGTCTTGGATGTGTCAATTGTGGGCAGACCCTTCTCGATTTCCTCATAGGACAGGCCATAGCTGCAGGAAATTATTATAAATTAGTTGACAGGCCAACAACTGTGGCCAAATGCTGACAAATTGTATCTGAATCGTATCTGAATTAGCCGGCAATTGCTGCGGATATCGCTCAACTTGGCATTTTCCTGTTTGGCCCGTTTAGTTCTCCTTCGTGCTGATATTTTGCAATTTGTCAAAAAAATTGCAAAATTATCAATTTTTGCCGGTTAGTGAGCGGCATGCAATTAACGCGCTTTTGGCACGACTAACAGCTTACAGTGACAGACATTGCTGTGCTGATTTTAGATTTTACTCTGACATCGATGACAAACTATTCGCTTTCAATTTAAGCCACTTGCCATTTTATTGAAGCCGACTGCCTGGCCTGTGGCCTGTAAAATAAGCGTCGCTTATCTTGTATCTATTGCTGCCCAAAGTGCCAAATATAAAACAACAAAAAATACAAAATAAAAAAAACTCTGTTGGGGTTGGTGCATAATAAATTTGTGATCCGATACTTCCTCAAGTGCAATGGGAAAGTGAGAAAAACTGTAAAAACCTGAGCAAAGGGACTGCAAAGGGAAGGTAAATCTATTGTTTTTGGCTCGGAAGATAGTGCAAAGCTGATATGAAGATGGGAAAAAAAAACTTTACACTCAATTGGGCCAGCGGTTAAATGGACTGAAGGTGCATAAATTAGCCAAGCTGAGGAAATGGCTACAAAACAAAAAAGCTGCCAAACGAAAAGTATTCAAAAGAGTGTTTAATACCTGTCCACAGCATTGAAAATAAGCTAATAGTTAACTAAAAGGAAATTCAAATTAAATTTAAGTACCAACTATCTATTAGGCAAGATGCTTAAATAATATATATAAGTACTTCCTCCAAATGTAAAGCTTTCTATTATATTCATACGAATTGCCAATATTCTTAGTTAAAATCATCATCATCCATTCTAATATTTAAGCTTATGCAAGCTGCATTTCAAAATAGATTTTAAGTGCGATAAAAATGGCTATAAAATTTGCGAACGAAATTTAAAAAAAAAAATCCTTTATTTAATTGGGCGGCTCCAAAGACCATAGTCATAGGATTATACAACTGCAGCTGCAGCGCTGATGATCCTCTAGCCGATTTCGTATTTGCATTAGATGGTTGAGCGATGAGGTAAAAAAGAAAGTCACATACGCTAAAGTCACACAGGCTGCAACTGTGAGTGGAACTGCGGAATCGTGGTGGCTTTGGCCAACTAACTTGGCAACCCGCTTACCCACAAAACGCCAGTTGGCCAACCAACAAAACTGGAAATATTATGTTGCATCCTCAGCTGGCTTCTTTTTGTGTTTTCTGGTTGGATGGGGCAGTCACGCGCACTCTCACTGAGACTGCCATCCCAAACAGTCTTTCGGATTGCATAAGTCGCATTTTGTTTATGTTTTGGTGATGCGAGCACAGCAAATAGCTTGGCAAAAACATTTCGAGGCAAGCCGAAAATAAATTAAATGAAGTTACGCCAGTTCGAAGAAGTTTTTAATGACGCAAAAAAAAAATAAATATGTATAAAATCTGGCTGGGACCCGCACACTACAGGTGGCCAATTGGACATCAATCAAAGCCAGCGACGACATCGATAGCTACAGCAATTTTGGCATTGTAATTAGCATTTGCATGTGCCAAACTTTCAAATCCAACCAATCCGCAGAACCTTGAAGGCAGCCAGCCAGGCAGCCAGGCTGGGTGGCAAGCAGCACCAATTCAGTTCTGTTTAGTTGAGCTCAGTTCAGTTAAGCTCCAGCTCTAAGCTCATACATATTTATGGCTGCGGGCGGTCTGACGGACGGGCGAACGGACGAACGGACTGACGGGCAGACAACGTGCAACGGCACGACTTAAGTGCCATGTCATGCGTTATTTGGCAATCATATATTGGGACAGTGGGCGTGTCAGGCGCAACTTTCAAATGCGTTCAGCATTCATAGCCATAACATTTACTTACGTTCGCGCCAATTGTATGGATATATCGAGCAGTAGCTCGCCCACGGTGGCCAGTTCCTCAGGCTTCCAGTCGGACTTGGGCTCGGCCACACCTGCAAAGTGCATCAGATAAATGCATATATGTCTATCAATAATTCACTTATCTACGCATTGTATAAAAAAAACACTTACGTATACGCTTGCGTGCATCCGAATAGGCCGCATTGATGGCATCATAGGTGATACAAGTGCCAGCACCGCTGTTGTATGGATTACTGCGAAAGAAAATGGCAAAACAAGAAAGGAGAATATTGAATTTTATTGACAATGGCTGGCAATTTGTCGCTATCACATGCTAACCACACACCCCACACGCCTACACACACAGCCTGCGTGGTGTCTGATAATCAAATTATTGACAGGCCAGCAGGCAGCAGATGGCAGCAGGAAACGGAAATGTTTGGCTGCCAACTAGATCTGGCCACAGTTGAATACGTGACTTAGACGAGGCAACATGGAACAAGCGCGTAGAAAGCTGATACAAATATTGTGGACACATCGAGCAGCTGAACTGAGTGCCACAATGCAACAGATGTTGCACAAGCACTGCAAGGCATCCGCACGCACTCAACAACTGATAAGGTTCGTCAAAATTGTGCTGTTGTGTGTCTTGGCTATTTGGTTGCTGAATTACTACCATACGGAGTTGCAGGGACAGGTGAGTGAACTTGCCGCAGAAAACTAAACAATGAAAGCTAAGTTTTCTTAAATATAACAAATAGCAATCTAGGGTAAAATAATTGTTTTTTAATAATTGTAATTTTGACGTAAGCCTGTAACACATTGAAGAAGACATCTCCGTGACCATTAGGTGTATGTATTCTGTATGAGTATCAATATGAAAGTAGATATAATCATGTATGCCTGCTTGATCAATTGATTTTATTTATATATATCACATGGCAAAAATCGATCGAAAGTGTGGTTTTCACCAACATATTTGGACTGCACAAAATCACTAAGCTTTGTCGAATTTTTCAATTAATAATTAAAATGAAATATGCGGTCTGCAAGGCTATTTAGTGTGTGGCGTGCCTTAAATAACCGTTCTTTCTTTTTGCTATTCATAGCGCTGTGCTTTGTCACTGCCACGCCCCTTGCGTTATGCGTTGCGACCACCAGAGCGGTGTGGTTTCTGCGCCAACATCGAGAGTGTACCGCGCCTAAGCGACCTTAGTGCTGCCACATTCGAGACGGAATATGCATACACGGGTGCGCCGGTCATTGTCAGCGATGCCATGCAGAACTGGACAGCAACAACGGTGAGTTAACACACAAAACAGCGGCACCTAATTAAAATACACTCTTAAAAACCATTGTCGTTTGTAGCTCTTCAATTACGAGTACTTTCGGGGCGTCTACGGCAAGGCTAAGCGCAAGCAGCGCATACGAGACTGCCAGTTTTTACCATACAAAACGGGGTTTCAGGACATTTACGAGGCTCTGGACATGCCGCAGTCACGCATCGAATTGCAGTCGGATGAGTTGCCCTGGTACTTTGGCTGGAGCAATTGCAATGCCGAGACTGCCGAGGAGTTTCGCAAGCATTATGGTCGACCCTATTTTCTGCCCGAGCGATCAGAGAATAATGCTGTCGATTGGTTTTTCATTGGCACAGCTGGCCTAGGCGCCCAAATGCATGTGAGTATTGTGGCTTAATAAGGTTTTTAATTGGCTTAACAGGACTTACTTTCAACCAGATTGACAATGTTCGTTTGCCATCGTGGCAGGCGCAGTTGGCTGGCAGCAAACGCTGGCTGCTGGTGCCACCACCCGAATGCTATTTCCAATGTCGACGTTTTGAAGTGGTTGTACAACAGGGAGATATCAGTAAGTTGGTGAATTGAAATGTATGTCTTTAAAATTCTAGTATTTTATTGCATTTGCAGTTGTTTTGGATACTAATAGATGGTATCATCAAACATTTGTGCAACCGGGCACTGTTAGTCTCACCATTGGCGCTGAATACGACTAAGTCGAACGCATTTTCAAGTGAGTTTTTTGTTTTTTTTTTTTTGTCAACAGGAAGCAGCACTCACATCATCTTTTTGCCAAATAAAAAAATGAGCTAAACAGTAATTGTAACTGTAACAGTAACAACTTAACTTAACTTGAACATTGCATTTGCGTTTGTAGCCGGTTTGTTAATTAAATGCCAAAACACGCAAATTTCTCGTCGTAAATACCCCGCTAAAAATGGGGCTACAGCGACTTCCTCAAATGGAGCGACATGTAAAACGCGTGTCAGGTGACAACGATACATGTTAACAATGCGTAAGTATTAAATAATTATAACAACAGCAACAACAACAGCTTATCACACATACGCACATAAACGCCATAGCACCCAACACATTGCCTAGTCACGCAATGCAAAACCATTTAAGCAATGGACGACATTCTTCGCGAACTTGCATCTATTTTTTCTGTGTGTGCCACGCTGCATATGCAACTGTGGATATAATGATATTGATATTAGGTATGCGACACTGCAGGAAAAATTACTTTGGCCCATAATATCTTAAAATTGTAGCAGTAATTAACCTCTAAAATTGGTTAATATCCGTAGAAATCAATTTATTGTATTTCATTAATCAAAAGTGTGCCAGCATTTTCCACATTCTTGTTATAATTTTCCCCGCATTACTTTGGAAAAAATAAAAAAATATATATATATAAATACATATTTTTTCCAATATATTTCATGTCATATAAGTCTTCAGAGATATACAAGAATTTAGTTTTTATACATATTAAATCTTGTCAAATATCAATTAAATAGTTACATCGCTTGTAATCATTTTCAATCACAAATTCATAGAGGAACTTTACAATTTTTACTTTTATATTTATGAATAGATACTGTCAAATTTATTAAGAAATCGTTTTTAAAGAGTTTTCGTTAATTCTTCAATGAGTCTCACTTAAATTCAATAACTCTTGCTCAGTAAGGGTGCCAAGCAAATGTTGCTGGAAGATTGCACTCTTATTTTTTGGTTAAAATTTGTCAAATGCAAAATGGCGTCTTGCACTTAACTGGTCTGCGAGTTAATTTTGTAATTTATTGCTGATGGAAAGTTCAATGTGCGCATTGGATTGGCTGGTGGGCAGTTAGCCAGAGTCTTGGGCCAGCTAGAAAGTTGCTTGCATGCGGCACGCACTGGAATCGACTTGGTTATCCTGATTGGGTTGCTCTGGTACTGCATTAGTTGTTTGAATAAATGTATGTGTGTATGTATGGATGTGTACTGTTGCACTATGAAATCAATTCGCGTTTGCAGGTGCGCGAGATACAAGCGAATGCTTCCTGCTAAAAGTGAAACTGTATTTGGTTGCACGGGCCGGCGTGGCGTATGCGTAATATTGTAAGTTGTGAGTAATTGCAAAAGCGTGTTGTAAATCTACAGATACAGCACTCAAAAAAAAAATATATATATATACATATATATATCAGCTATCTATGCGCTGGTGAGTTTTTGGGGCCTTGTGGCATAACCGAGACGTGCACCGTAGCTACCACAGTTACGCAGACGACACTCGGGAAAGAGGAGGAGACAACAAATATAAAATGACTACATATCAGAGCAGCATCAGCAGCAGCAATGAAAGTGGCCCAGGTCGGCAAACCAGTATTTAGCTTTTAAGTAGGTTGTTGTGACTGCTGCGATTGTAGACTGCATTTTTGCCGGCCGCAACAAAGTTCAATAGCCAGGCCAAAGCCAAATAGTTGTCGAGTCACGTTTTCGCATCAGGCAGCCCCTCCAAAATTAGCTCAACTCTCTGGTGACCCCTATATATAAAAATTTGTTATAGCCCGATCGTGCGACATTTAAATTGTAACCGTCTGTGTTGCAGCTCTGCAGCATTGTTGTGCATGGTCGAAGTTCAGACATTTTCTTTTTTGTTTTTTTTGTTTTTTTTTTATTTTTCAAAGTCACATTTCGAAATCGTTTCAAAACTTCAGTTTGCCATCAATAGAAGAGGCGGCCGTGCAGCAGCTGAAGTCGCGTCGCACCACAGGTGCTTTAAGTGTTGCAATGCCATTTATTTGTATAGGTTTTGTTGCTGCTTTGTTTTTTTTTTGTATTTGCTGTTGGTTTACTGCTGCTGCTGTGGCTGCTGCAGCAGCCGTGCCTGCTGCTGTGTGGTTTTTACGAACAAATCTGTGGCGGATTGTCAAGTGCCGTCAAACAGACGCGTTCGCATCACATGACTCTATATTTTCACGTTGAGCCGAAGACAGCGTATCCGAAGTCGAGGTCAATAACTCATTTGCTTATTGCAGCAAAAATACAAGCTGCATACCCGAAGCCAGTTAGAAGTCAAAAAATTTATGTAATAAACCATTTTCATATAGACCAGAATGTTTAATGGAGGTTTTGGAAAATTTGCACAAGTGTTTCATTTCGATTAATTTAATATTTTGCCATGAATTGTATTATGGCAAAATGTATGGTGTCTCAGTTTTAATAATATCTCCGCACTTATGAGTACATTTCGTGTTGAATTATAAATATGAATTCTATTCTACTATTGTTAAGATCTATCTATCTTACTATTGTTAAGATATTCAAAGTTCTGGTCAATCATGAAACTATATAAGACACACTCAAACTCTAACTCTGCCTTCAATATGAAAACTCGGACAATTCTTTTACTGCTTGGTGTTAGCGTCTGCTCCCTGTCCGGTGCCAGCAGTAGGGGTTCGCCAGGAAAATGCCCCACTGCATGTAAAATGGAATAAAGGAGTCGTGGCAGAAACATTAGCATCTGCACTTTAAATAATTTCTGCTTGATGAGACTTCAGATTTGTAGTAGACATCAAAGTAAGTAAAAATATACATGTCATGAATAACTTCCAAACTTCACTGACTCTTAAATCGCCCACTTAGAATGGATGCTACGTTCCCAACGATTGCAGGACTTTAGTGATGTTCAGATAAATATACCCATGTTCAAACTACAAAGTCAGAAATGGTAAATATTTCATAAATATATGTAAATATGTTTATAAAAGTGCATTCCTTCAACAAATCAGGCATTAACTGCTAATGTAGCTGTCTGCTAACTGAAAGGTCTTAGCTACTCTCCTGTCCAACAGCAGATCCAATCGCTCAGCATGCCTCTTACTGTTGGCAATACAGTCGCACAACGCTAACCCGCTGCGTTGAGTGACTATTTGAGCCGCAGTCCCAGTGCCAGCCAGAGACACGCGAGTCATCGCAAGTTGAAGACTTGCTCCCAGGCGTGCAACATTTGCCCCCGTTGCCCATTTGGCAAGACAAACAATTTCAACATGCCGCCACGTTGTTGTCGCCACTGCTGTTAATGATTAGCTCAAAGCCCCCAGACATTGTGTGTCGTAGGTGTAGAGTATCGACAGGCAATGAGTCGACGGTAGGAAAGATTTATGACTGTCTGTTTAGCATTCTAACATTTTATTTTTAAATATTTTTTTTTTCTTTTGGTGTCAACGTTTAAATATTTGAGCGCAAACGTAACCCAGAATGCCAATTGTGTGCTTGCCACATTTTCTATTTGCATTTGTTGTGGTACTCACTGCGTGCCGCGAAACAGATTCACATTATAGTCATAGACCGAAGAACGACCCGGTCCGGCCAGCAGCAGGGCACAGTCCGAGCCATGGGCGGAGTGCTGTGGCGCCGCAAATTGATGGTATTGCGCCTGTGCAATACTCAGCAGACCCAGCACAAGTATTCTGTGGATAACAAAAAAAATACATATTAATTTTAATAATTATTAATGGTTGTATCAAGTGCTACAAGCCACAGCTTATTTAATGCTATTCAAGGCACAAATTCAATACAATTTTTCAAATAAATTAAAATAACTTACGATCATTTTTATTAATTACATATCGAATATTAAAACTATTTGATTTTCAATAAAAAGAGAAGGTCAAATAAAAATTTAGAACATGTGCATATGGTAAATATGTGTGTATTTGTGAGCATAAAATCGTTTTGCCAGCAACGTGGCCTATTAATCACCAACTGGCCAAAAGTAGCAGCAGCAGCAGCAATACCAGTTGTCGATTCGCTCTGAATTTTATCAATATGAATTGCAATTGTTTTGTGTGCTGTGCATTGTTTTTTGGCCACATTTTCGCGGTGTCTGGCTGCTTGACAGCTGGTAACCTTGCTTTTATTGAGTCAAATTTATGACGGAGGGCACGTGTTGATGTAAATGGCTTGTTAGCCTTTTGCCGCCTGAAACAAACACATATTTATTTTTGTCCGATTGTTAATGACTTTTTATAAGTATCGATTGTTAATGCTGCCAGCAACAACAACAGTAGCAACAACAATAACATTAACAGTGAAAGTGCCCTGTGTTGGCCCTGCCATCTGGCCATGTTCATTTGTGATCTATTGCTTTGGCTTTTTGATGAAAAAGAGCTGCTTAGGGCGATGTTTCGCTCTTGTGTAAGCCAAATAAAACGCACTTAAATCCTTTCACTTTCCGCATCGAATTCAATTTGTGCCTTTGTAGTGAGGCTTTCTTTTTCTTCTTCTTAGCTGCTACTGTATCTGATTTCGTTGATGCCCTCTTGTAATTTGAGCACCAATGTGACAAGTGTACATCCAGCAGCTATGCGTTGCCAGCACACTCTTAATGCCATTGCAAATGTAAAAACACCAGCTGCACATTGAATGCCAATTGTGTATCGCTTTATTCTCGCAATGCGCCTGAATTTAATAAACTATTATTGTATTGACTAGCACATTGAATCAAACTGTTTGGCAAGTTTGCACAAGTGTTTCATTTCGATTCATTTAATGTTGTCCTACAAATTGTATTATGGTGAAATGTATGGGCGATCTCCTTTAATTATGTATCGCCACTTATAAATATATGACTGGTCTATATTTAGAGATGAATTGTATTATTATATTCTTACTATTGTTGAGCTGTACGAAGTTCTAGACGTTCCTGAGACTATATAAGACTCAATTAAACCCTATGTGGTCACACAAGTACTTCAAGCACTGCCGTCAACATGAAATCCCAAACAATTCTTTTTGTGATCGCTGTAAGCATCTTCGCCCTGTCCGGTGTCAGCAGTAGGGGTGGTTCCACAAAATGCCCCAGTTTTTGTACTAGAGAAAACAGGCCTGTCTGCGCCAGCTGGAATCGCGGCAGAGAGACTAGCATTTGCACTTTCCTCAATATATGCATGCTCAGACTTCAGACTTGCCGGAGAGGTCAAAGTAAGCAAAAATATATATTTTATAAATAATTTACAACATTTTACTGACTCTCAAATCTCTCATTCAGGTTGGAGGGCCATTACCCAATCAGCTTGCACTAGGAATACAAATGATTGCAGGTTTTTAGTGTCTCAATAATCAACCTATTTTCAAAATATAAAAGAATAAATACATATCCACCATAATATGAATGCAATTGGTAAAGCAGAAAGATGCACATCAAAAGTCAGAAAACAAAATGTGTAACGCTTTATTCTCGCAATGTGCAATGACCTGAATGTTTAATAAATTTTTTAGAAAATTTGCACAAGTGTTGCGTTTTAATTTATTTATTATTGTATTCTGAATTTTAATATGGCAAAATCTATGGCCGATCACCTTTAATTATGTACTTATAAACACATGACAGGTGTACATTTTTGGCACTATATAAGGCGCAGTTAAACCAAACGAGGCTACACAAGTACTTCATAACTCCATTTAATATGAAATCGCATACAGTTCTCTTCGTGATCGTTGTTAGCATCTGCGCCCTGTCCGGTATCAGCAGTCAGCTTGGACCATTTCATTGCGGTATATGTCCTATGGAGGAAGATCCTGTCTGCGCTACCTTAAGTGTCCATAACCGTACTACTATGTGCTCTATCAAAAATCGATGCTTGGTGGGATTATTGAATTGCAAGAGACTTGAAGGTAAGCTAAAATTTCTAGTTCACGAACTGCTTAATAATTTTACACACTCTTAAATCATACACTCAGGATGGTGGATCATTTCTGAAGGCCCATGTACTAATAGTAATGTCGATTGCGCATTTAGGGTTAATATTGAGTACTTATTTATTAATTAAAAATATTAATTTTTGAAAATTAAAAAAAAATAATAATTGATAAATATATTCAAAGTATACAGCCTGGCAAAATCTAAATTCAATTGTTAAATAGTTTCATACACTTGTCACACACCTGACTTTTCGCAGTTTAATAAATAAAGGGGAATTCACATTTTACTGATGCTCACCCAATTTGACCATTAGATAGCCCAAATTTTTTTGCAAACTTTTCCCGTCGCTCGTTCGTTAAATATTTTATTTGCAATCAAGCGCCACTTGTTGATTGCATAAATACACAAATAAAAGTGCCAGCAACACAAAATCAAAATGGTTCAAGGCAGCATTACGAAATTATGAGCCGCTAAAAGCTGCGAAAAGTGTGCAATGTTGATAATTAAATGTTAAGTAAACTAGTTGATTGGCCGGCTCTTTGGGTTTTTTAAGCTGCCAATCCAAGGCAATTAGAACGCAGTAAAAGGCTCCGGCGCCCACGCAGTGATTGGCTAGTTGTGGATGCCAATTGGCCACGCCTGACAAAATTGAACAGTTGAGTTGACTTGATTGCATGCAGGCCAACAGATCAACAGCCAGCTGGCCACTGCGTAAGTCAATTAATTGTTGCTCGCCATTGGGGCGACAGCTTTTGTGAAAGGCGTTCACGCACACACACGCACACACACACACACACAAACAGTAAACGTCCTTCTGGCCAAAAGTCGAACAAAACGGCAACAACATTATTGCATATTCATGCAGCGTCAAGTTTTACATCTGCCCGCAAGACTCAATTAATTTTTTGGTGGCTGCTGCAAACGACTTTTCAAATAAACATGCATCAATGTATATATATTTTTAAACCACAACTGCAACTTATCTAACAATTCAAGGCACTTGCATAGCACCCAGCTTTGGTTCCACCTATCCAACTAAACAATTGTTGACCACATTTGGGACTTGGGCCGCCGACTTTACCTACTTTGAGTGTATGCCCAAAAACTTAAGCCAAATCCAGAAGCGACCTTTTTTGTCAGCCCCAGACGGGCCAAAAAGCCTTTAACAATAACTAACAGCTAACAATGATGCAGGCTGAACTTTCAACATTGTTACCAAAAACTACATTCAGAGGCCTGAAATGGGAGCCACTAATCTCCACATATTAAAAATGCGTCCAATGTTGACATTTGTTAATAATATCTATCAGCACTACATTAATTGCCCGTTGCACGGTTATTGTTGTCGTTATTGTCATTGTTAATGTTGCTGTTGCACTTCCATTGTTGTGGCATTGTTTGATGTTGTAAATTTTTCATCGTTATATCATCTCTTAGCTGGCATTCATATGTATAAGTCTTATATAGCACATCGCCCAGGCCCAGAGGCGCGGCAAGTGCATAGGACCTTTTGTTGGGCATTCGATGTGGACTCTTTATTGTTGTTGCTGATTGTGATGCTGCTGTTGGTGTTGCTTACCACATCGAGCAGCATTGTCTTTTGGGATTTATATGTAAATTGCTTGCAACCCAGAGGGTTTGGTTTTCTTGATAAGGTGTTGAAATGCGCATAAATTTGCCCTGATTGTTAACAAAAATAGCAAAGGAATCGCATTCAAAATACGGTATGAAACCCCACTTGGTTAAGGCATTTAAAACGTGTGTGAATTTTGACATCAAATTACGAACATTTGCTTAAGAGTTCCCCAAAAATACACACCCTTATTATAAGGATGCATTTTCTAGATAGTTCCGAGTTCTATTTTTCGTATTCACTGACAATCTGAGAGAAATGAAACGGTTTTGAGTAGCTAATATGTATCTTGGACAGATTGTAAAATAAAATTCTCTATTAATTTTGAGGCTGTGAATTGTGTTTATTATTTATTAAGTAAATGTATTCATTATTAAAATAAAGGTCTGTAATATTTTAAGTCTAATGTATTTTTATCTCTAAAGACCTTAACGGTCAGCAATTGTTTTTATAATTTTTCAAATAACAATTCATATTTTATTGAGTTTTGTATAATTTAAAGTGTATACATTTTTGAGGCTGGCGATTGTTATTATAATTAAATAAATATATTTATTCTCTAATAATACAAATCTTAATAGTCTTTCGAATGTTTCAGCTTATTGTATTCAAGCTTGTGTATGAACTAAAAGTCATTCATAAATATTATTGTGACCAAATGCTGGACACTAACTGCTATTTACTAAAAACCTGATATTGGCGAGTCTGGCTTCTCGTATCTAATGGACTGCCAGTACCAAATTCATAAGATTTTAATTGTTGCATTCAGGTTTGCTCAATCAGTTTGTGCACCGGCTGCACCGGCCAATTACTAAAGTCCAAGTGAATCTCGCTCTAGACAGAATCGAAGCTGATCGGACCAGGCTGAGTTTAAGCCACAGACATGTCATCACATCCGTTCACCATTTCAAACGCAACAAGTGCTAAAAAATGAAATCAATAGCGCACACATGGCGCATACTTAATAAACCATTGGCCAATTGCAACACGAATCGCATTTATGTGGCATTAGTGTCGATCTTTTTATTGTGCCGTAAATCGGCCATATGTGCAGAGACAAACACGTTTCATGTCTCTGTGTTATGGGCTAATAAGCATGCTAACGATTTGACCCAAAAAAAAAACGCGCAAAGAAACCTATAAATTTAATGAAATCGACGTGATCTCTTGAAGGGTTTTGATATATCACCCCAAAGGAGCGCGGCACGCAATCGACATGCCATAGATAAACATCTGACACGGCTAACGTGCAGTTTATAGACTTAAATATATCGAATTCATTCGATTAGAATGTAAAGCGGAGACAGGCCAAAGCTCAGCAGCAGCTGATTTTGCTGTTTGCTGATACTATCGCCAACTGACACGCATTTAATATTTGTTGCGCATACGCCATGTTGTGCAGTTGACCAGTTGTCCAGTTGTCCATTGATAACTAAGTAGGCGATCTGCGGAGCAATAGCTTATTAGTTGAGACCGCAGCAAGCAGACCGCCTTTGCAGATTTATGACTGGCAGCGGTGCAACTAATTGCAAACAAATTGCAGTGCTTAACACCGATTTAAATACTGTACAAGCGGTTCATTTCAATGCCAGATTATTGACCAAATTGCATTGCATTTTCTGAAGTGCAAAAGCTCAATGCAAAACTCGCTGCTGTCCAGGCCAGCGATCGATTGTAAATACATAAATCAAATACAAACAACTTTTTCATTTGCTGATGTTGATCTTTTTGATTTCGGTTTGCTTTTGTACAACTCAGCTGCCTTGACTTTCTTAGCCTAACTTTAAAACTTGAACCGAAGTCTGAGTCTCAGCTGAGCATCCTCATGCGACACCTACATACCAAATGTGGTGCTTGTATGTTTAGAAACGCCTTTCCCCACTTTGTTGCACCATTTGTTTTTCAACAATTACCAAATTGTTGCATGAATTCAATAACTCAACGACGGTGTCTTTGGCTATGACTTCAAATGCCTAACAATTGGCACATCGTCATCATCATCAATTTAAGTGCGAATGATGCAAGAGCCACTCCACTTGGCCTGCCTACAAATGAGCGAGTGATTATCGCCTAGGTATTTTCGGTAGATTTGTTCAGTTTTGGATACAATATAGATTTGTGTGTTCGACTGTTGCGTAGCTTTGCATGCCAACATGCAGCATTATGCTTTGTTTAAATAGCATTTCAGCTAAATATGCAACACTTCACAAATAACTGCATATGTTTCATATTTTTTTGTGCTACATAGTTGTGCTTTCAATTGCCACATCATTTTGAGATCAGCACATGAAATCAAACCAAAAAAAAAATCACAAAAGAAGAGAAACAAAAACCATCCAAGAGATATTTGGGTTAGCTTGGCTCTCACGATCTATAAGACTTTGTTATTGTCGATCCAAGGCGCTTCATTCTGCTGCACGATCGCCAACAGCTACTGCATATTAATTAATACCGGCGTCGGCGTTTTCTACGCGGTCTTGACTGATAAGCGCAAAAAGACCGCGTTTTCATGATTTTAGATATGTAGACCAAAGATCCGAAAAGATACTTTTCACTTTCGGTTCACACGCTTGCTAGCTAGCTCATGTCCGTATGTGGTATGTATGATATACAAAGGCATATAAATAACATTCATTTGTCATAGTAGTTATTTGTAACACTTTCTCGACTGTGAATCAGCAGATTTGGTGAATGTACCATCTTAGAAAAAAGAAAATTTCTACACCAAAGCTTATGAATTAGCACAAACAAATAAAAGTGGCAATTCGATTGTTGATTACTCTGCATCATTAGACATAAATACTTTTACTTCAAGCCAAGTATAAACATAAATGTCGAAATGCTTGTGAATAGCGTATACTTTTTTGCCAGCCGTCCTTCACTTGCTTGGCCCACTCATTATTCGTATCTTTAAAGACGCTGGTCTTTCAAAGGGCATCATTACCATTGCCCTAAATGAAAAACTCAGCCAGAAACTCAATTAAAAGTAAAAATTTAAAATACAATTCCAAAAATAAATTCATGTTGTGGGCAGCATGAGCATCAATTTTGAAACCACAATTATTTCGGTTAATTTAAGTTAAGTGTCGAGTATTATGGCGCATCAGTTAAAATAAAATTTCAAAGATCTGTAAATCAAAAGTGAATGTTGGGTTAACATTCACTTTGAAAATCGAGCACCAAGCCAAGTGCCGCATAACCCATCAATGTCAGCCGCACAAAAACAATTTGCTTCAAAAATGTTTATGTTAAAAGGAATAATAATAAATAAAAAAAATATAAAAAACGTCACGTGGCTGGTTGCCTCAGAGTAGATGAGAGGAGGCAAGGAATTGGCATTATGCGAGTAATTGTAGCAAAGCACATGACCAAAAACGATGCACAGATAAAATAAAAGAAAAAATGATTAAAGTAAAAAACCAGCACACAATCTTACCACAATTCACGGCTGCTGCAGTTGCCGTTGCCTTTGCTTGAACCTTATACGGTTTTTTTTTAATGTTACAAAAGAGACAACTGCTGATTTTCTCGATAGCTCTTTGTGAGCTGCTGATATGTGACTTTGATCAAATAAATATTGTGATACGGTCAACCGCTCATTAAAACGCAACACGATGCGCCTTTATAGCAGCACCTCGAAGTGTTATTTAGGCGCTTTCCAATTTCGAAAGAAACACGCCCAACAATCGACAGCTGCGATTTGTGCCTCAATTGTGGCTGCGGCACAGAAATTGCATGCAAATTGGCAAAATGCAGGCTGAGCATCAGCAGCCTTGACACAAATCCGTTGAAGCTAACTGTCGGTGATCAGAGTGCGGTCTGTTGATGCCGGTATAATCTTTCTGTAACTACCTGTTGGCTGCTCTGTTGGAGCCATTTCACTTGCTCTGTAGTCACAATTATGTCTTAATTTTATAATACTTAAGCGAACCGGATTTCTAGCAAGTCTCGAGGCAGATGCAGCCCAGTTTCAGTTGAGGAATTGCCAGCGATTGCAGCAGGAAATCGACTTCGCATTGCACTTAAGGCTGTTTTATTTTATTTTATTTTTTCTGTTTGGCTTGTCTTCTACATTTAAGGAGAAAGTAAAGTGGACAAATGCAGACGCAGACGGTCAGGCAGACAACTGGTTGAACATGAATTCCAAATCAACAACTGGCAAGCATTTGGCCAATTGTGTAACTCGAGTTAAACTTTGCGAGCAATGTTAATGACCTCGTTAACGCCCCCCTTCTACACAGAGCATAGCCAAGGCATATTTCAAAAGTTACGCTCTGTTCCTATTTCAGGTTTACTAATAGCTATATTTTATGACCGCCGTCGAGACACAGAACAAGTCAACAAACGCCAGCAACTGGCAATTAACAACAATGCGATAACTCAATATTATTGCTGTAAATTGTTAGCCCAGTCTTCGTTTATTGTTGGTGTTAGTTTAGCTGCGAACTGCCGTTAGTCAAAAAAATAAATACTGAAAGGTTTCTGGCAGTGTCTGACCCAAGTCGGATATGGTTACGCCCACAACACACCACTCTCTGGCTTGCCTTAAAGCGTTGAAAATCCAGCGAGTGGACTACCTTGCAATTATGTGATTATACGCCTTGCTTTGACTTGCCGACGAGTTCAATAATATCCATATTGCTTTGACCAGCTTAAAATCTTATCTTTCACCTTTGCAATGCTGGCTGGCACCTAATTGCTTTTCAAACGAGACTGTAGTCAAGCTGAGCTCAATTTAAGTAGGTGTGAATGACGAAATAAGCGCCATACAGCAGTTACTACCACTAAGCCAAGAGCATGACCTATACGCTCATTAGGCTAAGCTAAGCTAAGCTCTGCCTAGAGGCTGTCTGTGATGATTAGTTTGGCTGTGCGTTGCTAAAAAGATCATTAATTGTAAGCTGTGATTGGCGCGTGTCCAAAAAAAGAAAGTTTTCGGAAGTCATCGCAGCACAGCGGATATACTTTGTTGTATCAAAATATAACAAGATGTGGTACTTCGGCTTTGCCTTTTTATAGAACACATTAAGCCGCAACTTCAGCAATTACACAGTTAGTAATGGATCGACGCTGCCGTTTGCGGCTGACATTCCAAAATACATATATACAACCTGAATATAAATGTGTTAATCAAAACACAAACATGGCATATGGCAGTTTATTAGACAGCGTCAACAGAACTCACATAAAATTTCTCTGGTGGTCACGCAGAACTTTCCAGTCAAGTGCCACGCCAAGAAAGCAACGGTAAAGTGCTGAACAGAAAGTTGTCATAACCCAGCGGTAGGCATAAAATATTACATAAAATGACTTAGCTAGCTGGAAATGTAAACAGGGTTTGTGCCACACATTCACGCTCTTTCGGTGGTCAAAAATGAACTTAAACAATGTGTTGTAAGGCGCCGTGCCATAAAATGCAACAAAGACAACTGCAACTAATTAGTGTGGCACAGAAATAGATACAAATACTTTCAGCTAACCAACTAACAACTAGTTGAATTGAACTGAGTGGATCAGGCGACATACCTTAAAATCATTTTGTTGACGTTGCACGTTGCCACTTGGCCGTTGGTCGTCGCTGTAGCTACTAATGACTTCTTTAAATGCGTTTTTGCGTCGATTTTCGCACGCAAACACCAAAAAGCTGCAAACTTAATCCAATTACGGTCGTCGAAGCAATAAAGTGGAACGTTGCGACTGCCCACGCAGATTGCGATGATCGTTTTGTTTTCGTTTGGTTTCTTTTTCTCTTTTAACTTGGCCTTAATTATTTTTAGAGCCTCGTGTTGGCTGGCCAAAGTGCAGCACGTCACCTGCAAAGTTCAAACACACAATCTACTTCAAGTTTGTTTCGTAAGTCTTTCGTTTTTTTTTTTATTTAACACTTTTTTTTAGTTTCTTCTCTCCCAAAAGCCGGCAATGTGGGTTAAGCACGTGTGCTATTAACGTTTTAACTTTCGTCGCGTTGTATTTCTTTTATTTGTGAATATTATTTTTTGGTTCTTTTCACTGCACTTGTTGATCGTTTTATTATCAGTTCCACACGTTCAACACATGTGCCAATACCGTTAGCCGCTTGCAGTACCGCCACGGCGAGTGTCCAACAAATAACTGAAGTCAGCAGCCCAATGCTGCCACACAAAACCAAATAACTTGTCGACTTGAATGCGGCTGCGACTGCGTCAACGTCAACGTCAGCGTCGCAGCAACAACGCCAACGCCAACGGCAACAACAGCAGCGACAACAGCGACAACAGCATCGACAGCGGCAACGTCAGCGGCGACGACGACGATAGCGATAGCAGGCCAATACAACGGTCTCGATATTTGCCAAGTAATTTGGTTATCAGCCAAACAAACAGCTACCAACAACACCGGCAAAACAAACGCCCAAAAGACCAACGCGTCGGCGCCAGCGAACTTCTCTGCAGCGGATTCGAGCTCGACTTTGAGTTTGGCTTGAGCCAAAACGACAACACTTCGTCGTGTTCGAGTGCGAATTGGAGGCTACCACTGCCATTAGTGTGGTGAGTTTTCTTACGTGTGGTGACTTTTCAGCGTGGCGGTGTATTGAGTAGAGTGCAACAAAGTTTGTTGCCTAAGTCTTTTGTATTGCTTTGACTTACATGAGTACGTGATGCGATGGGCCTGACAGATAGTTAGATATTTGCTCTAAATTTCATCTTGTATAAATACACGTTAGAAAGCACAAATTTGTTTATATTTCTTTGTGAATATACAAATATGTAGAAAATAAAATTAATTAATCCGGCAAACATCTATACAACAAGTATTCCAAATCCAAAATAAGGCCATATAATTTTTATATTGTGTGTAATGATTATTTGTACTGTAATTAAAAATTATTAAGAATCTACATTGAAATTGCTTCTCGAAATGTATACTTCGAGCAGTCATATTAAAGTAATTGTATTAAACGAACTAGACACACAAGCAAATCAGCTTTAATCTCAAATAACACTCATAACAAATATCTACAGAAAATCTAATTAAATAAATCCAAAGCGCGACAAAACGTCAAATCGCCAAGCAGTTAAAATTATTCAAGTTTGAACCACACTTACAAATTGAATATTTTTTTATTTTCTATGTTGGTTTTTGTGGCCTTAGATTTTGGCTTCGGCTTTGTTGCCTTTACAATTGCTTTGCATGAACGCAAGAAAATTGTGCAATCACTCGAGCTGCGTTAAATAAAAAAAGCTATAAAAGAGAATAACAACGAGAACAACCACAGTGTGCCACGAGCTCCACGCATTTTTGAAAAGTGGTTTTCTGGTTGTTGTTGCTGCTGCTCTTTTATCTTAGCCAACAAGAGACAATTTTTTATGCGCATTACAATCTACGTTATCGACCTGGTTTGACTGCATTACATTTAGTTCGTTTTTGTTAAATTTTGTGTCTAGTTTATTAAACATGCCATTAAATTTTAATGTCGTGTGACATTTTTGTTTACGCACAGCGTCAATGTAGAGCAAAACATTAGCATGTTGGCATATTAGTTACTTATTTTTCTTGCCTGTCATTGAGTTGTTTAATTAATATTTAGCGCATATCAGTTGGTGCACGAGTGCATCAGCACTGGCTGATAAAGCGCTCGTTGCTTTTTCGAAACTTAATTGCAAAAACGCCTTCATTTGGGCCATTTGATTAGCCGGCCACAGCAGCCAACTAAGCCACAAATGGTCCATGTTAAGCCAATTTAATTAAGTTGGAGGCGCTGAATGCCTGCTACAGTTGCTGCAGACAACCTTGCAGGCATTCTTAACATGATCAAGATTTTTACCAACGCACCGCATGTAGACTTGTTATTGTTGTTGTTGCTGTTGCTGCTGCTGCTGCTGCTGCTGCATTCACTTTTCAAATGCTTACAAAATGTCAATTTTTGGCACAATGTTATTTGTTAGTTGATCGAAGCGATTGAGCAATTGTTGATATGTTTTTGTGCTGATTTAATGGCCGACTGGCTAATTGTATAAGAAAACCGCACGAATGTGTTTTAGAAATTAAAACTCTTGGCACTCGGCTGACACCCCAAATGCACAGCTGGCGACAACACGGCGAATGAGTCATAACTGGCTAGAGATTCAGGGCGCCTCGGGCACATGTTCCCTAGTGGCCTGTGTAGCGTGTAAGCCAATTTTATTACGCTTACATAATGTGACGCAGTTGTTATCCACAATGCTGGGTTTTGTAATTTGCTCACAGTTTTTTGTATAGATTTCTTTTATCATTATTGCCATGACATTTCATTTTCGCCAAAGAGCCACTTATCGAAGCAATTGGATTTGCTATATCTTAGACAATTGTAAGCATAATTTGCTTATATTGTTGCATATGAGCTAAGAAAACATAATTTGACCATATCCAACCCTGAGCCATTTAACCATTGGGTGTGCGAAGGTTGCTTTTCAAATATCTTTCGAACGATTTTTTGCTTTTTTTTCGTTTTACCTATTTTTTCTTTCGCTGAGCACCTAAGCAGGCAAAGCTTAAATACAACCAACCCAAAATTTAGGTAATAATAAACTCTTCTATATGCCAATTATATCGATGGCGACAGCTAATGAGGAATTGGCATTAAATTCACTGAGCTACGGTCATAACAACATAGCTCATGTATTATGCATTGTTTTAGCAGTTGGCCAAAATCTGTTGTCAAAATTGCTAAGTGCAGCTTAAAACTTGAATTATAAGTACACATATTATTGTAGATAAATTGTGTTTCTTTTATTAGCAATGATTACATTTTAAATTATTTTCTAATCGTATATGAACAAAAATTGTAGAGAAAAAATAATTAATTAATTGTTAGCAGCGTTAAAAGTTCAGATTGCATAACGTCAAGGCAAGATTGCAGAGCAGTATATTTAGTAGGGAGCATTGGAATATTTACTGGAGATCGTATGATGACTGTGGCCAGAGTTGACAGCAGCGGGAATGACATGATGATAGCCAGAGTTGACCAGGTTTTGATCGATGGCAGAAGCAACGATTGTTTGATAGCCACTCACGGAACCGTAAGCGGGAAACTGATGCGATTGTTGATTAGCAGTACTATGCTGATAGCCAGATGAGATTGGACCGATTCCACCGATTCTAACAGTTGAAATTGGATGACAAGCGATTCCATTGTAAGTCGGCCGATCCACATCCACTGTAAACAACATGACCAGCTCCAACTAATGACAAGTAAGCAGATGCTGGAGGATGGGCAATGACTCCGTAAGCCAGACAACTGAGCAGGACTAGCAAAGTAATAGCCATAATGAAAGTCCAAATTGTGTTTGAACTGACAACTGACACTATTTTGATCAAGCACGAATCTTTTATAGCTCCTATAAAGCTAAATTCATTCAGCAAATTTTGACATTTCACACTTCAAATTGTAACAAAATGTGTCAGAGTTGAGTGGTTAAAGGCAGGTAATTAATATTCTGAGTGATATTATGAACGTGCTTCCTTTTCTGGGATTGAAATCTTATTCATCCCTATACAATAATATTATCATCCAAAATATTGTATAAGTTAAACAGTGTTTAAGATTTATTCTATTTATATTTATTTATAGCGTTCGTTATAATTATACAAAATATGCTTAGATTCAATTCGATGATGGAGACTCCACACATTCTCCAATTGCGTAGTACGAATAGGCTATTAAGAAATTAAAAAAGAAATTCAATATCCTCGTTAAAATAAAAAAATACAATTGAATATTCAAAATTACTCACCTCTCTCATGAGTACACATATAATTCCGCATCTCACACTCATTGCTAAAGGTTATATATTCCTCCTGGAAGAACTGGGCACAGACCGGCTCAAAGTTTCTCATGCACACCTTTTCACAGTTCTGCTTGCAAGTCTCCCTATCTGTTTCAACCAGCTCCGATTTTCCTTGGTTGCGGCGGGCACATTGCTCAACTTTTAGCAAGCACCTATTGTGGATAATGTGGCATCGCTCCTCATCGGTTGCCCAAACATACTCCTTTTCACCTGAGCATTTATATTGCACATTGCAATCGAACAAACTGTGACGAGCTTGAATGCACTCAAACCAGCCCAATAGTAGAGCCAGTGTGATTCCCAGCGAAAATATACTTATTGGTCTATGCCTCGACATCTTACTCATCTAAAAGTAGACACCCAACTTGGCAAATCGAGTAAATACAAACCCGTTTTTATACGATTTGTCGTTGAGTGATGACAGAGAGCTTTACCGCATTGCGTGATTCCCCATGGATATGAGATAGTGAAACAACAGTCGTGCTTTTTGTAATCAGTATAATACAATAAATATACTTTAAAACTGTATTTTAATTGATAATAAAATTAATTTTTATTAGTTTTTCAATTTTAAATGTATTTAGTTATAAATTATATGTTATCTTTGCCTTTCATTAAAGCTTCAGTGAAATATTAATAAACTTATCAAACTATTTTCTGTTTGGAGTACATAGAAAAATTGCAAAACACATATTTTAATCTGGTCATAAAATGATAGTAAATTAGTTTTTTAAATTAAATTAATTTAATTTAATTAAAATAATATGTTGTAAGGTTTAATTTTATTTATTTAAAATGTTAGTGGTTGTCGCCAGATAAAAGTTGGCAGCGTTGGGATTAACATTGCGAGAATCGTAGCCACGTTGAGTGCGACCAGACGTACCAACTTCAAAATTTGGAATTCGCTTTCCCCAACTTCAGGAAGCATTGATCGCTAAGTAACTAATGGAAAGACGGCAGAAGCAGTAGCTGGAGATCCATTGACAGTCGGTCTCTGAAAGGCGCAGCAACTGCAGAACGATAGGAAGATGAGCGTTTATCCCAAATATTAGTTGGAACTACAGTTACAAAAGGTCGCAGTACCGTGCAGACGCATCAGATCCGTAGGCTGAAGCAGCTGGACGTCTGCCACTTAATACCTTGAGTGGTCCGGCAACTGTTGGTCCACGGAAAGCTGCAGGTCGGCTAGAAACGGAAGTAATATGAACGGATGGAAGTCCTTCCGCAGACGGACGCTGGGCTACAATTCCACAGACAAGACAACTCGACAGGAAAACGAAAATGGCAACTATTTTTGGTCCTTTAGTCAACTTATGACTTATGATACACATTAAACAATTAACAATAAATTAAAGAACAGATAATATGCCTTTTGCGCTGCCCCAATTTGTTCTCACAATTAATTTTCAATCTTGCCTTCTGAAGAGAATTCATTAAAATCTCTGATCTAACTAGGTAATTAAATAATTGAAAGCGGACCAATTAATTTCTATAGCCATTAAGAAAATATTCTATCCTATTTTGATGTGTCGGTAAATTATGGATCCACAGTTGCAACCTGAGTTGCGTGAACACATTGAAATTAAGCAAATTAAATATAATTTGTGCATTGGGCTTAGCGAACATAAAAAAGTGCACCTGAGAATTATTTAACTGGTTTTACTCTGCAGTCGAGAATTGAATTGAATAATTGAGGTTAACTGAATAAGCGATTATTACATAGTATATATGAATAGTAATGCTGTTGTGTTTCTTAATCTTAATCATTGAAACTATATTTGCTGAGATCTCAAATGTAAGATTCCTGCATCTTTTATTATTTTCTTTTATTTCACAAATATATAAGTATTTATTTTCCTTAGTCCACAAATGCTGAAAATAATTTAAGCTTGTATTAAATGTTATATTTTGAAAATAATTTGACTTACTTTCGCCAGTTCTGCAGGAATGTAAACTCTTTAAGCATGGATTACCAAAATGCTTCACTTCCCCATTGTATGTGCCCGTAACTGGCTGATGAATTGTTGTACAAGTATCAGCACATTTTTTCTGACACTCCTCCTTGGAAACAATATACATGGCTATAAAATGTATATCATTTTAATAATATACACTTTTACATTACAAACTTTATACTTACGAGGCATGCGCTCGCAGTTCTCCTTATCAAAGTAACATTTATTGCGGAAAACCAAACATGTTCCGTCCAAAGCCCAAACAACGTCCTCGGTATCGGGACAATCAGCCGAACAATTGGCATTAACATGGCTCACTGCTAGGCAGAAAACCAAACAAAACCCCAAAAATACTTTCATTTTCAAACACGCTTATAACACGCAAGATCACCGTCAATTTAATAACTAACACTGACGACAGAATAGTAATTTCGTCGAGCTAGTATCTATAGGTAATGTGGATACAAAAAATATTGGCGTTTTTATACTATTCAAGCAACACAATGTAAGTTTATTATGAGTCTGGTCGACATACGAACGTGACTATTCGAGTTATTAAACAATTTAATGTTATGCCGAGCAAAAACATTATAAAAATTGACTACACTCAAAAAAAAAAGTTTATTTTCGTAAATCGCCATTCATTATTATGCAAAATTTCAGAAAAGTTTTTTTGTCTACTTTTAGAAATATTTTTTATTATTAAGATATATACTTGAGAAAAATAGAAAAAAGCCTTAATAATTTAAAAAAAATTTTGCTCAAAGGTTTTAAAAAAAAAAGGTTAAATACAATGAAAAGTTTATAGTTATTATATTTCGGAGATATCTTTCACATTTACATCACATTTGAATGCTTCTAAACTCACAGACGCTTTAATTTGTAATATCAAATAATATGAAAAGAGATCAATTAAATAGAAATACAAGATATAACATAATTTTTGAGAATTGGAATTTGCATAAAATGTTTTATTTCGGATTTTTCCACTAGCTGCGTAGGTGTCCATTTATAAATCATTTTCTGAAAATTATCAGTCCAAAAATGCTAGAAAAAATAAGTAAAATGTTGTTAAATGTTTTATACAGATGCATTATAAATAAGTCACTCTTACTTTCACCGGTTGCGCAAGTATATTCCAACTTTTCGCACGCATTTCCAAAGAATTTCACTTCTCCTCTGTAGGTGCCCTTGACTGGAGCATAAATCTGTGGGCAAGCAGTACTGCAGTGCTTTTGGCACTCCTCCTTGGTACTGACAGTCAGGGCTGTAAATAGTCAACGGTATTTATAAGTACTCTTTGATTAACTGCATGTCTATTGTTCATAGCTCACCTGGCCGTCGAGTACAGTTCGCCTTATCAAAGTAACACTTATTGCGAAAGACTTGGCAGCCTGCTCCCATGGCCCACACAACATCCTCAGTATCGGAACAGACATCCGAGCAATTTGCATTTACGTGGCCCAATGCAAGGCAGAGCCCCAAACAAACTGCCAACATCAACTTCATTTCAAATACTAAATAAGCAGATAAATATAACCTGTTGACCAGCGCCTCAAAATCATGATAGAATATATCAACGTATTACCGTGTTTAGAACAAATGCTAAAACGCATAAACAACGGGCGCCTTATCAGCTAATTAAATAAACAGGTTTCATTCTCTCAAACACAACACATTTAGATCATAAACAACATTTTCGTCTAGAATTTCGTGCTTTCTGGTTTTTACTCTGCTGACTAAATATAAAATAAATTATATGGGTTTATCCAATAGTTATAATGTACGTTTCAGGCAATACCAAACAAATGTATAATACATCTATTGTCTCTATATTTTTTTATTGTCACCGTAGTAACAATTAATAATTGTTGTTCATACTTTTTAATGGTTAATGAGAAGCAATGCAATTAATTCTGAAATCAATTTTGTGTAATTAATAATTAATATAATAATATAATAATTAATTAATAACGAATATTAAATTACATTATAATATTATATTATAATAATAAGCGAAGGCTATCTTCGTTCACATAAGTAGATATTTCATTTGAATATTTAATCACAAAATACTATTTGTTTGTGTACTCTGTATTTTTATTTGATAATTATAATTTTTATGGTTTTATTTCTTGAAATAAAATAATAATTAATGTTGTATAAAATACTAGTCCAAATCTAGGACTGCTTCGGCAAGTCCAATGCGTTTGGCCTCCGCATCATAAACAGTATAGAAGCGCGCCAAGAAGATATCTCCAAGCACCCAGAAACTGCTTTCGATTGGCGCAAATCCACTTGTACAAGTCGTCTCCTCTGCAGTCTCTAGTCTTACTACATAGTCTTCGGGCCTTAGTGTAAAGCTCTCGTCTCCAATTTGAAACTGAATATCCAGCAGCCCCTGCCTGTCACAGCTGACGGCATAGCTATCGTTCTTTATCTTTGCCCCAATCGCCTCTTGTACCTGACTGAAGACGGTCTGAGGTATTAGAATCAGTGAGGTACCCGTATCCAAAATGGCAGTGACTGGGCCATGGAAGGGACGACTGTCCACAAATATGGCCGATATTTCAAACTGCCAGTAACCGACAACAGACACAGGTACATAGTGCAACACGCCCTTGTAGCGGGAGCTATCGATGCCCCCAAATATAATCTCGCCTCCGTAGAGTTCGCCGGGCATGCGACGCAGATAAACAGAGAATATGCATCGCTCGAATTGATGCTGCTGGCAGAAGAGCTCCAGGAACGGGGTCGAGTTTTGCCAACCAATTTGGCTGAAGCCCAGCCCAACAATGCCATCGAAAGTCGTACCTTCGAAGGTCGATTGATGATGCGACAATGTCTCGCCAAATATCAAGCCTGGTACTATCGCATCGCCCACTTGTATTGTGTCCTGGGACAGATAGCCACTCACATGTCCATTGCCATATGCAATGGAGAAGTTGTGTCCATTTTTCACATAACTTTTTGACTTGTGCGCTTTGTAGCGACTGTGACGCTGGCAGGCTATATTATTATCGGGGCAATTGCATGAAGGCAGCCAAGTATTGGCCGAACCGGTATCGAAGAGCACTCTAAATAACTGGGGCGGTGTACCCATTCCAATGCGTCCATAATACTCCACATTCTCGCGATTCTCCAGCACAAGCTGCAGCTTCTCTAAAGCAAACAGACTCACATATAGCTGACTGTCCATTGTCTTTTCCTGTACCTCCAATGCCACTCGCAGGACACTCATCACAGCCAACGTATAAAAGAAAATCAGCATCTCGCTGAGAAATAACAACCAAGTTCGTGGCATCTTGACTGAAGTTTTAACTTGAACTAAAGCACATTTGGGTCATATTTTCTGGATTTGGTAATCAACCACAGCTGTTCGTTGTAATTGGCCCATTAGCCAAGCAAAAAGTGTGCCACAAATAATTTTTTTATTTTAGTCGTAAATAATGATTTAAAGTTTGATTTACACAAGCTTTGCCAATGTAATGGGTATATAATAACAACAACTTGGTTTTCATTACTATTGGAGCTGTTAAATAATAAAAATTCTAAGCGGATTAGTTTTTGCCATAAGATTTGCCTTGTGGAAAGCAAACGACCGACGTACAAGTTGACTTTGATGCTAATCCAAAGAATCTTTATGGAACTGAACATACCTCTTCTTTTTTTTGCCTAATTTATAGACGCAGATTTTTAAGTATTTTTGTACACCAACGTTAATAAAAAAAAACTTGTTTCTTGTTAAAGAAATTTATTATATTATAAAATGAGCACTTTTGGTAATAACTGGCTTATTTAAGACTGTTGCAGCGGGCAGAAGACCTACTGCACTCTCCCTCACCAATTTGACGCCATTCTGTAAAATAAATATATTATTTAATGAAGATACCTTATTTGATATTAGACAACTTACTTATGCCCTTGGTGCAGGAACTGACGCCCATCGTACAACTATTGGAAAAGGTACATTGGATCGGTCGACCACCAACTCGAGCTTCTCCACAAACCGGACTAAAAACTGCTAGACAAATTGAAGGACATTCCCCGGCGACCATAGTTAAGCCACAGCAGAGGAGCACACTGATTAAAGCAAAACAGAACTTCATTGTAGCGGAAAGTGTTTTGACGACTAGTTTATTTCGATGACAATGTCAGGTTTATATACTAATATTATCAAGCCATTGACAACTGGTTTCACTCTGAGAAGTGTAGTAGTCATTTAATAAATTTGTCGTTGTTGATTAGACGGCCGTTCAAACGGAGAGATAGGCAAATAACCGACGAGAAGAGAGCCACTCAGAACGCAGCACGAAATCGCTCACTCAAGAAGCGCTCAGCAAGAAGCTTTGCAATAAGCTCGAGTGAGGTCTTGTTGCGGTCAAACGGCCAAGGTTATTGAAACAAAGAAGTCGTGTATGTTGCGAATCGACAATATAGAAAACATTGTGTAAAAACTCGTGATTGTAACCTCATAAGTTACAGGGCATTACAAATAGATATATTACTGTGAAAGTGCGGTGGATAATAAAAAGGTATGTGCTGAAATCGGTGAAATAAAAATATTCGAACCACTTTCAACCTTATAGGCCATTCTTGGGCAAAGAGTATGGACCAGACCTGCCACCAGTTTGAGCCAGCTGCACGCCTTCATAAGGTACACCGCGGGAGTGATTCACCCCGACGAGGTTGTAATTAGTCAACCTAACTTCATTGCATCGACATCAGAAGCGTCGCTAGGCAACGGGACGGAAGTGAGGAAGTGCGTTTAATCCAAGAGGACAACTTCATCCCACGGATCCCGACCCGCGCATATTCGCTATATTGAAATCAAGTAATTCCGATTTATTATTAATAAGATATTAATAAGATTACCTTAAAAGTTAATCAAAGAAGACGTGAATGATCAGTCAGCGGTGTGGTCCACGCCCTACTTACAAACACAAGCAATTTTTTTGAGATAAGTTCTTATCAGCTTTCGTGTGTCGTACAAGCGCGGATGAACAAACCATAAAGTTTGAAAAGGTCAGCGTATTTAAACAAGCGCAACTCGTAATTGGCGAAATGCCCTAAATTACTTTGAATATATCCAAATCATTAATAGTAAGAAATATAATTATTGAAGTTTTTTTATTATTAATATGGTTGAATAATTTTATAAATATATCATTGTAAAAAAAAAAAAAAAAAAACGGTACTAGTAGGTGATACATTAATATTTAACAATACACTGGCACTGGAGAGTGCGCACCTCAAGCTCAACAATACACCGGTCACTTAAATTGGCAAGTTCATCAGCCAATCATTAGTAAGACCAAATAAGTTATCCTAAAAAAAATAGCTTATACAAAAAGAAATGATACCCTGGTTTACTACAGAAGTTCTAAACAATAACAATAATATCACCTCTAAAACAGATGTGAAACAAATATGTAATAGTGATTCCCATTTCGGATATGGTTTTACTGCACAGATAAACGTATTTAATGAATTCTTTGAACCGTAATTTCCAGGTACTTTTACACCTTAATAACCAGATAATATTTGCTGAGTAACGGTGCAACGGGGCTATTTGGCTGACCACGTGACCTTTAAGCCACCGTCTTTTCAATGACTCTCATTAATCATAGACAACCTTAGGTGATCTGCGCCTAGGCGTGCTGCAAACTTACATGCTGCCTGTTTAAATCATTAGATTTGCAGTTTATTCAATTCATTTCATGCCACGAATCGATTCGATTCGATTGGATTCAACTCAACACCAACTTTTATTTACCGTTTAGAAGTTCAGTCAGATATATATACATACAAATATTTATCATGTGGGTGTGGATCGTTCATCTGTATATAAAGTTGTCCGACAGCTTTTAAATTAAAGCGCATTATTACCATATCAGTCAGCAGAAAAGCGAAAATAACAGCAACTACGAATATTATCAATACATAAATTAAAGGACCAGCAAGAATACTACTAACACTATGTGAATACAACGATATACCTTCCAAACGACGAAGAAATATAACCAAAAGCTTAATCTAATAGAAAAACTTAACTTAAACTTAAAACTTAACACACTCAAAGGTAAACACATTTCCAATTGCTGACAAGATAAAACAAAGTGGCATTCACTGGCTGGCTGTTGGCTGGTTCAGAGGCAGCCCCTGGGTGGGCGTTTAAATCAAAGTCTGCTTTGTCGTCGAGCTGATGGAGAGGCGATTTATTACCGCAGCACTTGACTCTTTCAAAATCGAGGCAATTTCAAGCACCAAACTCAATTACAGTCAAAAGGAAAGATTTTACTTTCGAAATGTGCGAATAACATAGCGAAGCAAAATAATAAAATAAAAAAAACCTGCATAACAACACCAACTTTGAAGATGACTTTCAAAAATCGCCCAGCGACCGGAGACGGGCAATTGAAGAAGATATTTCTTGGTTACTTCGGTCTTCGGTCTTCGGTCTGCTTACAAAAAGTGACCAATTGATCTGAAAACAGTCGCATAACAGGCTCCACAGGTAAACTGATCTGTTGCCTCATCTCAAAACAGGTGCCTGGTGTTTTCACAATAAAACTAATATGTGGCAAATTAAAATTTGATGCCAAATTATAAATTTAACAATTTCTAATTAACTATTTTTGTACCCCGATTTATGGCATCTGTGTTTATTCAACTGCCAATGCAAAATTTGAAATTTGGTGACGATCTGAAAATAAGAGAAAACAGACTTTTCAAAAAGCTGACGCAAAAATCTTAACAACAACATTATTTGAAGTAGATGAAAGGCATACAACGTAGTAAGTTGATATTAATCCTAATATGGCATAATAAGTTGTACATTTTAACAAAATTAATCTCATAGATCTTTTATTACTTAGATATTTATTATTTCAAATTAGAAATAGTACTGGAAATCTTCACATAATGTCGGTCTCTTTATAAAGTTAAAAATATGAATATTTTTTTTTAAAGCTTATGTGCTTATTTTGTAGCAAAATAAAAAAAATAAATATATAAAATATTATTAAAAAAAAAATAAATAAATCGAAATAGAAATCTTGAACTACTGTCAATCGCTCTGTTAAGTTAATAAAATAAAAATTGGTATATATATCATATATACGCATGAGAAGAATTTTCCATCTTGACACTCTTCTGTATGCTTTGTGCTTTATAAAATTCGTTGTTTATTGATTTACATACGTACGGGTTAAGTGACAACACCTTGGATAATTATATTTGCACAACTGAAAAATGTATAAAACGCATTTCTGTTGTCTAGTTAACAAAGCAGATCAAAAACCCAATTTCGTATAAATGCCAGTTTCAGATCATGCCAACCCTTAGTTAGCCAATTTCTCCGCTAGTAATATGTACAAGTCGTCGCTATTTATTGCACTGTTCGGCGTTTTAGTTTGCCTGAGCACGGCTAGACTAGCCGCGACTAGGCTACAGGCGGCAGTCTGTCCCAGACGATGTGTTTTGGCATTTCGCTGCTCCCCGTACTACAAGGATATAGTTTGGAGCATTGTCGATGGTCAATGTCGTGTCTTTCAGAATGGCTGCCTATTCGCATCGGAAAACTGTTCACGCGTAAATAGTTGCAAAAAAGGTTAGATGAACTGCATTTCAGTAAGTTTTAGTTTTGTACAACGAGTAACACATGATTTTTTGAATTCCATTTAGAAATGACGCAAACAACACGAGAGGAATGCGTGACAAAATGTCCTCAAATATGTCCATTTGAAGGCAGGGGAGTTTGTGGCTCGTTCCCTGAAATGAATGCAAACAACACCCCAGAATGGAAGTCAATCACTTTCCTCAATGAATGCGTGCTAAATCAATATGCTTGCCAGAGTGGAATAGGTATGTTCCACATCATATTAGTATTATCACGTGTATTCAAAATGATTTTTCCTTTCCCTTTGATTGCAGCTTATGTGGGTATGACTGAGGGTGAGTGCGCGCGCAATTAGATCTTCACTTGAAACGCAGTAGAGACCAGAACTCTTGCATTCATATAATATAAGCGAATGCTTCATAAATATGTTAAAAAATAAACAAACGAAAATAACAACTGCAACTGTTGACCTTCTAGAATATTTTTAAAAGATAATATTGACATAATTGTTTACAACAAATGCGTACAGCAAATATATAAAACATTCAGCAAAACGCCTTACGAGTTATTATTGAATTTTAATTTTATTACAAAAATTTGCCAAGTTGGAGCAAGTCACAAATTCAAAATGGAAAATTATAAAAGTAAAGTTTTTGTGATGATTTTGCTAGCGTCAATTGATGCTATGTATGGACAGCTGTTGAGTGTGCAAGGTAAGTCACTGTTTCGAAAACTGAAAACTCGAATAACATATTTTTTTCATTTTTGGGTGCATTTTCAGCGTCCACCAAGTGTCATGATGTGTGTCCCAGAGTCTATCGCGTGGTTTGTGCTCAGCATGATGGATGTTTTCGCACCTTTGCCAACATCTGTGTAATGGAAATGTACAACTGCAAGTATCAGAAGGGTATGTGGCACATATTAATCTGACTAAATACAAATACAAAAAAGTTTAAATGCATTTTTATATTTAGCATATCAAATTGTATCGGAAAAAGCTTGTGAAATCATCAGCAATAAGGAGCTACAAAAATTGGAGCTCTAGCGGCGGTTATTAAACTCACGGTAGATGGCGCCAGTTGTAACCGCGCATGCGTTGATCACAAAATATTGTTTTGTGGTTGTGTCTCAATAGTCGCCAGGATATACATATATCCCGAGACTGCTGCTGCTGCTGCCGTCGTTGCTGCTGTTTTTATGTGTAACTCTCTCTCTGACTAAACTGTAGTATCGTCACGCCACTACTACTTAAATAAGCGATAATTAAATTTTTAAAGCAAGTTTTTCCCAGTTTTTAAAATATAACAACACCCACAAAAAATGTGCTAACCCTTTAAATTGTGTTCGAAATTTGTACACAACTTGTAAAACTACGCTACAAATTATAATAAATTTTCACTTACGCTCACACGACGTGCGCGAGGAAAAACAAAAAGTGTACATAATACCAACAAAAAAAAAAAAAATCGCAGACAACGACAAGAAAAACTTAATTTGGGAAGGCAGGGAACGCAACCAGCAAGCAAAAAAAAGAAAATAATAATAACCTCCAACTGAAGGCGTTTTTCGGCTAAGTTCGCCAGCAGTTATTCGCTTGGCGATCTAAACACAGGTTAGTTATTTTTCACCCAATTGCTAATTGGCTTGACATTTAATCTGTTTTCCGCATACAGTTGCAAAATTTCCAGCAAATTGCGCATCATTTATGTATAACAATCTAATGTCCGTCTATTGTGTGTATCTCTGTATGTGTGTGTGTGTGTGAGTGTCTGTGAAAATGTTTTCATGTCTGCTGGCCACATTTCGAAGCATACATTTCAGCCCCATTGTTGCATTCTGAACTACAAACATAAGTAAATGTATATATGTACATTTATACACAAGAATATAAAAAATCACAAAATATTGCTGAAGTTTATATGAAGGGATATAATATACACACACATATATATATATATATATATATATATATATACATACGCACCAATATGTACCCATAAGGAGACACATGCATACGAATATACGTGCAAAACACACAATGTGTGTATGGATGAATGTCTGACAGTGTGTGTCTAATGCATATGCAAATGTGAGTGAGAGTGTGACCCTGCCACTGGATAACAATGGCCACACTTCAATGACCTAGACCTAGACCACGAAAGATTTAAATGCCGCCAAGTGGGTGCAGTATGGTTTGCCACCCACCCACAAGGCGTGTGTGCCATTATTTAAACTGCGCATTTCCCATTAATTCTCAAGTGCAATTTTCAAAATGAATATATATATTTTACATATGGGACACACTATTTCTCTCTTGAGAAAATAATGCTCAATTTTTATCTTATGAAATATATACCTACAGCGAGTAAGCCCTAGCTGGAATATAATCATTTAGGCTAGTCGTTAAATTTAATTTCATACCGAAAACACAGTTTTTAATATTATTATTCTTATCCCCAAAAGGAATTAAACTTCTTTTGGATCAATAGAAAGCTGGTAACGTACATGGCGCAATCTATGTTTCGTTAAATCTGTACAACTCGCTTATCAGCATTTGCTTTGTTAACACAATTAATTTTATTATATTATTAATGTCGTATTGAATATCGTTTTCTTACATTCATCCGTCCTTTTTCTGTTCGTTACAACAATTTTGATTTCTAATTTGAAATAAATAATCGATAAATAGCTAAGCACAGCTGTTCTGTTACTGCTCTTTATTACTTTGTTATCGTTTCTGAATGTCGACAGCTGTTATGTTCAATTTCGAGTGTTGTTCGCAGGTTTTTTTATTAGACACCGTCTACACAAACTTTCTTTTTAAGTAAACCTGTCCTTAAAAGAATCCTTGCTTAATTGCCCACCAGAAACAATATTTGTTTTGATTGATAAACTTAAGGCGCCGCTTTTCCAGCAACAATTAAGAATGCGGTGTTAATAACATATTATACAATGTTAAAGTTTTCGGGTGCCCATAGCTGTATGTTATCTGTTAGTGTTGTGTAAAATTGGCTCATTCGTGTTTTTCGGTCGCTGCCGCAATTTTAATTTGTGCTTGCTGAGAACAATATAAATAAAGAAAAACAGCATTAAAAAGACAGCAAAAAAAAAACAAAAAGTATTTCAAATAATAATTGATGGCTCCTAAATAGAAACTGTAAGTGTTTATGTGCGGGTGGCCTGTGTGTTTACATATGCGTGTGTTTGTGTGTTAAATAGTCGCTAGAGATGAGCAATTTCTTTGATTTTGTTATAACTGTGACTTGGTTGGATTCTCAACATGGCTGAATATTGTTTTGAAAATTTAGATATCTCTGATAAGACCTGTAACAGATATGCTATCGCAAGATAAGGACTAAAGCGCAAACTTTTTGCCACGGACTTGCTATCTTTATGAACGTAGTTTCTATTAATATATATATATATATATATATATATATATATTCATATATATACAGATACTTATATGATTCTCAACTGAAGAACAGTTACGGCACAAATCACAGGTAAGCGATTAGCGCTCATCTCTCTTGCTTTGTTTCGTTTCGCATCCGCCACCCACAACAAGAGCCGAACGACCGCAGCACAATTTATGCGACGATGTGACAAGAACAACAACAACACGAACAAGAGGCAAAATAATAAGCATTTGTATAAAGAAGGAGGGAATCTTGTGCACAATGCCTTATAATTATCAAAGAGGCAATGGAAATTTGTCATGAATCAAAATCAGAAACAGAATTCAGACTTGCAACATGAGTCAGTCTTTTGTAATATAGTTTGTGCCTCTTTAACTCCTCGTTATCACATCAAATCAGTTGCCATATAAAAAATTCCACTGAAATATCTTGCTAACTTTTGATTGTATTTTCTGTAAGCACACGTACACACACAAGCACATACACTCTTACACAGAATTGCACTTATGACTTACTGGAAATTTGATCGGTTTCTCTCAAATTGAAATAACAATGCAGTGTGGTCTTTGCATATGTGTGTGTGTGCGTGTATGTGTGTGTGTGTGCTCAAGTGTAATGCCGCATAACAGTAATTTAAGCTTTTTACTGCTATTATCCTTGTTGTGGTTGTGGTTCGTGTGCAATCCTCATTGGATCAATCCTCTTCCAGGAATTATCAGCTACTCGAAACTTGAAACTTGTCCACTTTTTCAAGACCAGCATTAATTTGGTTGTTGTTATTGTTAATAAAAACAGATTGTGGTAAATGCATTTAAATACATAGATACATATATACATGCAAACGGTTATTTATGTATATGATTATCTAATATTCGCCAGTGGAGAAGTTTAAATCTTAAATAGAGTAAAACAGCATTTTGTTTAAAGGCTTGTAACGGCTTAGGTACAAAAATAAATATATTATTATTTATAGAAATTATATATAAATATATTATTAATATTGGATTCACTTTCTCTTACAAATAAATTAAAGAACAAAACATTATTTTGCATTTAAAATAATATGTATAAACATGCATAAAGTTCACTTTCTCTTCATTTTATGCTGCTTTTGCATTTGACTTATTTTTAAACTTATTGATTGTTGATAATAATAATCGAACAAATTGCCAAGCATGTAATTACAAGCTCAATTGCTAGAGAGAAAAGAGAGAGAGAGAGAGAGAAAAGAGAGAGAGAAAAGAGAGAGAGAAGAGAGAGAGAGAGAGGTGCACACATTGTTATTGATGCGACTGGTGGTTTGCTGATTATTGATTTCGAGCATAGAGTTTGAGCAAAGCTGATGGGCAACTTGCTGAATCGCATGCTAATGGCGGCAACGGATAAAACAAAAGCAAAAACCATAAATTGCGTGGCGCGTTCTTAGCCATTGTCAACGAGTAACTTTTGACGATGACGCACAACTCTCTGTCGCTCTGTCCGTCTGTCCGACTGTCTGTCTGTCTGTTCCCCGCATATGACGCACAATTGATAAACTGCAGCAATAATAAACAGATTTACACACTGTATACACACCAACACTGTTTCTTACTGCGCTTGTCTTTATCTGATTGTTGCAGGGTAGAGCAACGAGTTCCACTGGCTGTGGCTGGAGCTGTTGTTGTTGTGGTTGTTGTCGTCGCTTTGGCATTCATCTGGGCAACGTATTGTCGCCGGTGACCGCAAGACTGGGCAAAATTATGAACTTGTGCTCCTCGTCTGGTGCAACAGCATCGAATACATCGCTATCGTCCACAGGGCATCCGGAGAGTAACGGCAGCGGTCCATCGGAGGCGACACATTGCTTTGGCGGCGGCGGCGGAGGCGGTGGCAACAACGCTGGCGGTGGCAGTGGCACAGATACAGCACCCAACAGTAACAAAGGCACACTCAACGGTGGCGGCAGCGGCGGTGGCGGCGGCGCTAATCCGGCGAGCAGCAACGGTCACAGCCTGACACACAACAACGAAAACAACGGAAACATGCCGCCCGAGACGCGTCCCAAAATGGTGACGGTCAAGCATCCGGAATCAAATAAACCCAAGCCCACCACCAAGAAGATTGTCAAGAATATCCAGGCGGATCAGGATGTGATCAAGGCACTGCAACGTTGCCGAGACGAAGGTAAGTCGAATACACAGCAAAAAATATAGTATATATAATTGAAAGCATAGTTCAATTTAAATTCGAGAAATTCTCAATAAATAAACTTTAATTTTAAAATGAAACAACTTGGCAAATTAAAATAATAGATTGTTTTATACGATACCTAAAATCTGAACCCACATTTTTTAATGTGTATTAGCATGGATCTTTATTCAAATGCTGTCCTTGTTTACCCATAGGCATCAAGCGTCTGGACCTGAGCAAATCCTCCATCACTGTGCTGCCCAATACGGTTAGGGAGTGCGTGCATCTCACCGAGCTGTACTTGTACAGCAACAAGATTGGACAGCTGCCCACAGAGATTGGTTGCCTGGTGAATTTGCGTAATCTGGCCTTGAATGAGAACTCGCTGACATCGCTGCCCGAATCATTGAAGCATTGCACACAGCTCAAGGTGCTCGATTTGCGGCACAACAAACTGGCCGAAATACCATCGGTCATCTATAGACTTCGCTCGTTGACGACGCTCTATCTGCGCTTCAATAGAATCACAACGGTGGCGGATGATCTGCGCCAGCTGGTCAATCTTACAATGTTGAGTCTGCGCGAGAACAAGATCAAGGAGCTGGGCAGCGCCATTGGTGCGCTGGTCAATCTGACCACACTGGATGTGTCACACAATCATTTGGAGCACCTGCCCGAGGACATTGGCAACTGTGTGAATCTGAGTGCGCTCGATTTACAGCACAACGAACTGCTGGACATACCCGACAGCATTGGCAATCTGAAGTCGCTGGTGCGTCTCGGGCTGCGCTACAATCGCCTAAACTGTGTGCCCGTCTCGCTGAAGAACTGCAAAAGCATGGACGAGTTCAACGTGGAGGGCAATGGGATCACCCAGCTGCCGGATGGCATGCTGGCCAGCTTGAGTGCATTGACCTCGATCACATTGTCGCGCAATCAGTTCACCAGCTATCCGACCGGAGGTCCGGCACAGTTTACAAATGTGTACAGCATCAATTTGGAGCACAATCGCATTGACAAGATACCGTATGGGATATTCTCGAGGGCCAAGGGCTTGACCAAGCTGAACATGAAGGAGAATATGCTGACCGCCTTGCCGCTGGATGTGGGCACCTGGGTGAATATGGTGGAACTGAATTTGGCCACCAATGCGCTGCAGAAACTGCCCGATGATATCATGAATTTGCAAAATCTGGAAATACTCATACTGTCCAATAACATGCTCAAGAAGATACCCAATACGATTGGCAATTTGCGCAAATTGCGCATTCTGGATCTGGAGGAGAATCGCATCGAGGTGCTGCCCCATGAGATTGGCCTGCTGCACGAGCTGCAGCGTCTGATTTTGCAAACCAATCAGATAACAATGTTGCCCCGCAGCGTTGGCCATTTGAGCAATCTGACACATCTGTCGGTAAGCGAGAACAATCTGCAGTTTTTGCCCGAGGAGATTGGCTCCTTGGAGAGCCTGGAGAACCTTTATATCAATCAGAATCCAGGGCTGGAGAAGTTACCCTTCGAGCTGGCGCTGTGCCAAAATCTGAAATATTTAAACATTGACAAATGCCCGTTGGGCACCATTCCGCCCGAGATACAAGCTGGTGGACCATCGCTGGTGCTGCAGTGGCTCAAGATGCACTCGCCATACCGGCAAATGTGAGATGTGGATGGCGTCTGGCGCACCGTGTACGTGGGCAGCGATTGCTACTATCAGTACGAGCTGCATACGGGAACGGAGCAACAGACGCATGCCGGTGGCAAACAGGCGGCAGGCGGGGCAAGCGAACGGCGCTAACGGTGCGAGCTCAGTTAGAGAGTTCTAGTTCTCCACCTGGCTATGCCTAATCTCTCCCAGCATCAAAATCGAAACACAATCGAAGACAAGAAATCATCGCGTGAGGAGCGGAGTTGCCTGGCAAATGATAGCTTTAAAATGTTATACCAATGTCCCGCGTATTGTAAAACTGCCCCGATTTGCTTTTACCTTTAAGTTGATGTTTGATGCTGCTTAGCGACATGATATGATATGATTATTTGGTTCTCAACGTTTAGGTTTTAGTTTAATGCTTCCAAGCTAGTCATAAACACAACAAACAAATCATTGAACGAAAACTACACTAAATGAAATTAAACTAAATGAAATTAAATACTAAACCTTAGACTTTTTTGCGTTCGATACTCGTTTAAAGACATTTACAAACTTATCTGTCACAAAGGAAAGCTAAATCGAATGTTCAAACCATACAAAAAATACGCAAGCGCCAAGGAATTGTTTAAAAAAAAAAAATAATAATAAAAAAATACTAATTAAAACTTAAAAGATATACATATTTACACACATATATATATATATATAAACATAATTAGTAGACTACTTTGTATAAGCGCAAGAATATTAACGACACAAAAACAGAAGAAGAAAAAAAAGTATTAAAAAATAATTTGATTTGAAATCGATGACGGCTAGTTTTTTGGAGCGCATCAAGCTATGTACTGTGTATTAAATTATACTACATACATATGTATTCAAATGGTGCACTTTAACTTTAAGTACATATTTGTGTATTAACCATAAACATGGAATTGCTTGTAGCGCCGCATATGGTATATGGATGTAATAAATACATATATATATACTTAACGTATTATAAACTAATGCATGCATTATATGTATGTTTAAACATTTGAAATGGTGTTTAGTAGCCGAAGTGTTAAAAAAAAATAACAAAAACAAAAGAACAATGCAGTTAATGTAAGCAAAAAAATTGATGTGTGTGTTTGTGTGTGCATATTTATAAATGATTTGTACAAATATTGAATTGTTAATTATGATTTGATGCATTTGGTTAGCAATAATCAATAAAATTTTTGTATGGCAAGCAAGGAAAAAAAATACAATACTACTACGAGTAGTGTAATGCCACTTAATTAATAAGTAACTAGAGATAACAATTGAATCTTTCGAATGTCTCGGCACATTCGGGTTCTATCTACACACACACACACATACATATATATATGTATTTATATATATATATAATTATCAGTGTTGTAAGTGGGGTTTAAAGCCTCATTCAATGAATATTATGTCTAAACAGCTCAAAACTCTTTCAGTCTTTTAAACATTGCACAATTTATTTTTGTATGAAGAGAACTGCAAGTTTTTTAAAAAGAAAAGAAAAACAAAACAGAAATTGAGCTGCTCTCTGTTACAACGCAAATGGGCTTTAAATCATTATTTTGAGAACAAATCTAAATCAACGAAGCTAACTTTTACTATATGCATATAAATCATATGAGCTAAAGCTACACTTTTACACTCTTACATACATACATACATACATGCATACATATTATACATATACATATACAACTATTTTTTAAAAACACTTGAACAATCTACAAGTATAAATGTTTTATTTGAAGTATCCATGAGATTTGTCAAATAAAATGGCACTGGCCGATGTAATCTAATTACAAAAAAAAAAAAACAAAAAACAAATTTAACAGAATAGTAAACAAAGTACGAAAAACGTAAAATTCAGAAAACGGTACAAAAAACAAAAACGGAAACGTAACAAAATAGAAATAAATGTTGAAAATGTTCGCACACCTGAAGCACACACACACAATACATGCATACATACATACATCATATGTATGTGCCATGTAAAACTAAAACTGTAGAGACGATGAAATTGAAACAAACACAGTCAAGTTAAAAATGAAATTGAAATTGTAAGTACAAGTTACGAAAAAATATATGTTAGTCTATAGCGAGTTGGAGGCGATGCGATGAGAAAGTCAAAATGTAAAGCTATTCCTAAACAAACGAAACATATTTGAGAAATAAAAACAAAATGTTAAAATTCAATGTTAAACAGAGCTTAATAGCTTCTATGCTAACTGGAACATCAACAACTGTTATCGCTCCGAATATGTATGTGTATGTGAGTGAGAGAGAGAGATTGAGAGAGAGAGGGAGAGAGCAGAGAACAGCTGATAGACTCATTGACGATAACAAAGACAATCTGAATACAACGCAGAACGCACGTCGACACCGACTTTGACTCTGTCTCTCTGCAGGAAAGACAACAGTCGTTAATGATTTTAGTATATAATAATCACATAGAAAAAACGAAGGTAAGTAAGATAAAAATAAAATGTAATTGTGAAGTGAAAATTGCGAATTTGGAATGCCTTTTATCAGTTTCCTAAGAAACTTGAAGTAACTCAAAGAGTTTCTAGCTGCCCTTTGTTCGCACAAGTCAAGTGTATTGAGTACATACGTACTTATCGCATATATATATTATATATATATAATTATGTGGTTTTTTGAAAATGCGTTTTGCATTTAAAAGTGGTGCATTTTTAATAGACGACACCAGTGCGCATTTCGAAGAGAATCGTTCAACATTAACAGTTAATGATCGCTGTTATTTGAAAGTTACCAGAACAACAACAGAATGTATTCGGCCGGTTGTATTTGGATGCTGTTAATTGCGGTTGGCTGCGCTTCCGTTGGCCTGACGCAGGCCTATTCGGCTCTGCAGGATGCTCGAATTATCGCTGAGTACAGGCGGCAGCTGGGACTGAATCATACCAAGATCGCTAGGGAATTGGTGCATCGTGCCAATTGGGCGGCAGTGGGCAGCATTTCGACCAATGACGTTGTGAATGGCTATCCCATGGTCAATATTATCTCCATTGATGACAATAATCTGAAGGGCAAATCATCGGGCATAATACGCTTCATGCTAACCGATCTGGATTTCACAGGGCCCGATTGGCAAAACGACAACAAAGTGACCTTTATGTTTACGGACGAACAAACGCTGAACTGCAAGAATACCAACAAGGATCCCATGGAACCCACCTGTGCGCGTGTCATAATCAGTGGTCAGGTCATAAAGGTCTGTGTTGGTACCCGATAAATCGATCTATCAAAAGCATCTCAATCATTACAATACAATCTTTACTCTAACAGGTACCAGAGAATTCTCCAAGCTTTAAGCAGGAACAAGCTATATTTATCAATCGCCATCCAGCAGCGGCTAACTGGATCAAAGGTAATCCCATCAATTACTTTAAATAATACCTGCTGCTCTCACTTCTTCCGATTTCGGTTGTATTTTTGCAGTACATGCTTTCTACCTGTGCGAATTGGACATTCAGAATATATTTGTACTGGATTTCTATGGTGGTCCGCACAAAGTTAGCGCCTCCGACTATTACGCCATTAATATCTGAACTGACCACGAACACTAATACTGGGCTATACTTAGGGGTATTTGTATATAAGAACACACACTCGACGCCCCAATCTTTTGTTTACTAACCAGGAAACAACAAATACTAAGTTAAATGATAAGCAGACTTTCACATTGAACTGACGATTGATTCATATATATACATGTATTCATATATATATATATATATATATATATATATATATATATGAATACATGTATATATTGCCATTGTTTTTTGTTATAATTATATATATTTTTTTTGTTTGTTTTTTCAATTTATCAATTTATCCCTCTTTGTCTCTGTCTCAACACAGACTTTTATGTGATATTGTAATTCCAAATTATAAAAAATTGATAACAAATATGGCATAAAATGTGACCTAAGAACAAATAAATTTTAAGTTTCGGCAACAATATCAAAGTTGAACGTTTCTCTGTACCTTTTGTGCAAAATTAATTTTGAAACGATTTTCAAAAGCAATAGCTTCAAGATTAAGAATGTAGTGAAGATCTAACAAATTCAAGGAACAGTCAAATTTTAAATATGTATATATATTTTTCTTCTAATGGTTTTATTTTATTTTATTTTTTTAAACAATTTTAATATGTGGATTCGATATTGGGTGTTTCAGAGCCCTACGCCTGGGATCCCGGCAAGACGCACAGTGTGGCATCTATTTTCTGCAGCTGGGGTAGAATGTCGCGCAATTTGGAGCGATAGCGGATGTCTGTCGCCACTGGATTATGCTCCAAGTAGATGGTTTTCAGCGATTTGTTCTCCTTGAGCACCTCAAGGTTTTTCCAATCGGCAATGCCATTGTCATTTAACCAGATCTCCTCGAGCTGATCGAGCGCCTCCAGGTTGCCAATGAGCTTCAATCTGTTCTTGGCCAGATCGAGGGTATCCAAGCTTTTGTTCTCCGACAGATTCTCAATGGTCTCAATGCCATTCTCCGATAGGTAGAGCTCCTGCAAATTGGTCAGCTTTTCCAAGTTCTCAATCTTGATAATACGATTGGCCTGAAGACTCAATATCTCCAGATTGACTAGCGTCTCGAGATTCTCAATTTTGCCAATCTTATTCTTGCCGAGGAACAGCTGTCGTAAATTGACCAAAGTCTCGATATTCTCGATTTTCTTCAGCTTATTGTCGCCCAACTCCAGCATGGTAAGATTTGTCAGCATGCCAACGTTCTCAATTACGGTGAGTTTGTTCGCAACAAAATAGAGTTTCTCCAATTTCATTAGCTTGTCCAAGTTCTCGATTTTGGTCAGCCGATTGAAACTGAGATCCAATATTTCCAGATTGTCCAGCTTATCCAGATTCTCAATCTGTGTGATTTGATTATCGTACAGTTCCAGCTCCACAAGCGTTGTCAGCATCTCCAGATTTTCAATCTTCTTGATGAGATTCCATCGCAGATACAATCGCTCAATTTGTTTGAGTGGCTCGAAATTTTCCAGTTTGTCGATGCGATGATGATTCAGATCCAGTTCGTAGCATTCGGGATCGATCATCACGATTTCCTCAATGGAGGCAATCGGCTCGCCGGGTATTATCTTCATGCCCGCTGATGGCTTGGCGCCGCCACTTATCGGTATTGGATTATCACCGTCGGCCATATTCATAAAAGCGCTGTTCTTGTATGAATTGATTGATTTGATGAATTTCACAATATATTTAACACAATTGTAAAATGCCGCTTGGTCTGCTCTCGTCGATTTTTTAGTTATGTTTTTGTCGACTGTGAATCAGTGTTGGAAAGTCACCCAAATCGTTGCCGTTCGATTATTTGCGCTTGGTATGCAGGTAGCATAAGTGCTGCAAGCTTGTGAACAAATCAATATTATTTGTGTATAATTCCTCATTTACTTACAAACTACACTTTCAATTCGTTATAATGATCTGAAAATCTATGTTGATTTAAAAATACAACAACACAACAACAGAAGATTTTGATTTATTAAGAAACCAGTATTTTGTCTACTATTAATAATGTCGTCAGCGTACTGAGCGCAACAGCTGTAAATATGTGTTTTGTATTTTTCTTAGGAAGCGTGCGACTTTATTTTTGGTTTAAAATATAGTTTGTGCACATAAGACAACAATTAAAATGTCCTGAATGACGTTGCTAAAGGCTAAATAGTCTTATACATTTTATAATACCATTGAATTCGTCAAATTATCGCAATTATCGAGCATCATGTCGACGGGTTTAAAGTGTCGCAATTGCGGATCCAATGAGATCGAAGAGGATAATGCACGCGGCGATCGCGGTAAGTATACATATATATATTTATCCATCCACTGATTACTAACTTCATTACTGATGTACACAGTCTGCATGAATTGCGGTTCTGTGCTGGAGGATTCGCTTATCGTCTCTGAGGTGCAGTTCGAGGAGATGGGCCATGGCGCCGCCGCCATTGGACAGTTTGTCTCCGCCGAGTCGTCGGGTGGTGCCACCAACTATGGCTATGGCAAGTTCCAGGTGGGCTCCGGCACCGAGTCGCGCGAAGTTACCATCAAGAAGGCCAAACGTGACATCACCTTGCTCTGCCAGCAGCTACAGCTGACCCAGCACTACGCGGACACTGCGCTCAATTTCTTCAAGATGGCTCTGCATCGCCATCTGACGCGTGGCCGCAAGAGCACCCACATCTATGCGGCCTGCGTCTACATGACTTGCCGCACTGAGGGCACCTCACGTAAGTGATCAAAATCAGTTTGACTATTGACATAACAATTGTATGCTGTTGTTTGTCTGTGTTGTGTTTGCAGATTTACTTATCGACATTAGCGATGTACAACAGATCTGCTCGTATGAGCTGGGACGCACCTACCTGAAGTTATCGCATGCCCTGTGCATCAATATACCATCCGTTGGTGAGTTGTGATTGACCACTTGATTATGGCTCTAATTCTTTAAGACTGCATCTTTGAGTCAACTTGTTCTTGACCTGGTCGAGGGTGCTTCTTGTGCAAGGTTTGCAATTTATTCAACTCTATATTGTTAATAGAATCTTTAAGCGCATGTGGTAAATTAGAAATGATGTGCATATCAAATGTGTTGTCTTCAGCTCTTTTAGTCTTCAAGATTTAAGTGTTAACATATATCATTCCCATTTGTCCGAGATAGCCTCGTTTCTATATCCAGGATCGTTTCTTTATTACTTGTATTAGGTTTGTTGTGAAGAGCAGATCTGAAGATTACCGTCCAATTAGTTCACCCAACATTTATTCAATTATAGTTATTTAAATTCGAAAAAATCTAATAATGTATTTTATTGGTTAATAGTCATAATGCATAATTCAAAGAGTTCATATTCAATATAGGATAACATTTGTCTTACACATAGATATTCGAAAAACCAAAAATCAGTACAATTTCCAAAGAAACAAAAAAAAAAAAAATTGAACAAAACTATCATTGTTGCGCAGTGCAGCCTAGAAGAATTGGTGCGAAATTGGCTGGAAGGGGTTTTAATGTTGCATTAGATTCTTTTTCTATATATTCATGCAGTATATTATAATCATACGTAATCAACTCTAAAACTTGGGTGTGATGGATAGATACATCATATGTCGAGTGTACTCAAAATATTGCCGCTACAATTGCGTATACATTATACATAAAGATTTGTTAAGAGATTGGGCCGCCGATCCTAACTCTGATTAATTGTGTACGGTGTATATCATTAAATGTGTATCTTGGCTCTCAAATGCGTACGCATAAAATGACGTAAGTGTATATATAGTATATATCCGTATTTATATGTATATATATGCTGGCAAAAAATATGATTGTTATATGTGTGTATGTATGTCGTGCGCTTCGCATTCAATTTTTGTTTAGAATATAGATTTAGTTATCATCATCATTAGCTTGTCTGATTGATTGCCCGTTGTTCACTTTGCTTGTTGAAGATGCCTCTCCGATTACCATCTCAGTGCAAAGTCTCAGGTTGTTTTCCTTTATTTTTGGGTATATATATATTCGAGTTTAAAATATTTTTGTATGCATTTACCAACAGACTCTATACACATATATATATATGTTTTTTTTAATGTATATATATATATACATATGTATAACTATGTACTACGAGAACTAGAGCACTCTAATATATAATCGCGATTGGTATATATATATGTATGCGTATATATTTATTAACTACATATTTATGTATGTATATATTATCATGCTAATATCGCTTGTTTTCCGTTTTAAAACTCCAATTTGCCTTGTTGTGTTTGTGTTGCACTGAAAACCCATGAGTTCCGATTTTGTGTTGTTTGTTGTATTTGTGTTGGTCTCTTCTGCTGCTGCGACTGTTGCGACTGCTGGCGATAGTAGCAGGCACCCTGCCACTCGGCGCAGTAAAGCTGTGCGCATCAGGTGTTGCTGCTATCACTGCTCGCCGCGGTGCTAGCCACAGGCAGCTCATCCGCAGCAGCAGCAGCATTGTTAAGATTGCTGGTCGCATTTGTAGCTGTTCCGCCATTGCTGACACCATTTGTGGCAGCCGATGTTGCGCCGATGGGTGCGGCGCATATTGAGCTTGTCGGCGAGTTGAGGGCGGTGACTGTGTTCGTTGGTCCATAGAAGATTAGCTCGGGTATTTGGCCGCCCTGAACGCCGGTGCCGTTGGTACTCTCCGACGAACACTGGAATTGGAATGTAACATTGCCCATGAGCACATCGGACATACCCTCCTGGCCAAAGAAGCTCAGCTCGTTGCCATCCAGTATGACCGAGGCGGTGTAACAGCACTCGGGCTCAATCTGTATGGGATTCTCGAAGAATACGTGGAACGTGTTGCTCGACCCATCCGAAAAGAACTTTGTATCGTTCTCCGCAAGGGTGCGACCCAAACGCTTCAGCTCAATCTTCACATTGTAGTTGGCCGCACCCGTCGACGAACCATAGAGGCCAAAGCCCACAATGAAAATTCTACAGGGTAGAAGATTGAGATTTTTGTTACAAGATTTTCGTATCTTTCTGTGCCCTGCTCGCCTCCAACTTACCTACGATCCACTGAGAATTGTATGGAATCGCAGCGACCGCGATAGCGCCATTGATTTGAGCGATAGGCGCACGATTGAAAACGATGACAGACTTGGGTTTTGAGACCCGCACGCGTTCGCGTTGGGAAGCTGAGGCTGGGCTTCTGTTTGGCCGTGAAATGCAGGAACATATCGATTGTCTCCTGAGATGTGAGTATGCCCGTCTGGGCGACACCGTTCGCAAACTCCTCCAGCGTCATCGTAGGTATGCGTATCAAATGCAGCGCCTGGCCGAGCACACGCCGCTTATTCGTTGACGTCTCATCGATGCTCATCTTCTCGCAGGCATTCATGGCCCAATTGAGGGCAGCCTCGAACAGATGGATCTCCTTGCAGTTGAGCGTCTCGCGCGACAATATCGACTCGAACGTTTTGAGGTCAATGTCCACGAAATCTTCGGACTTAACCGCCATCTCGGCCTGGGCATCGATCACTTCCCAGCAACGTTGCATCAGTTCGGGCTCCTCGAATAGACGCGATTGACTGAGAAGTAGGCAGGCGTTTTTTGCCGTCAACTTAACTTCGAGATAATTGACACAGGCGCGCGCCAAATGTGGCACAATATACTTCTTGGCTGCATACAAAGTGGCCAAAATGTGTTCAGGCTCCAATTTGATTTCATCACAATACAGATACCTAAAAATTAATGTGTCAGCAGTGACAATTATGACAACTACGACGCTTCTTACCTAAGCAATGTTAAAAATGCCGTTGGCTCCACATCGGGCACCTTGATCTCCTGCTTGTTCTCCGCCAGACCGCCGTAGAACATGGCAAAGAACACCGAGCTGCCCGTGGCGAGTATATATTTGTGTGCGGGTATTGTTTGAATGGGATCGAAATCTAAACGAAGACAGACATTAAGTTAAGGCTGGCATTAAGTGGACAGACCACCTTTGACCTACCGAACTCGCTGCCCACAATGAACTTGACATCCGACAACAGTTCGTTGTTGAACATGGCCGCATTGCGTTCCAACACAGTTGCCTTGCTCGCCTGCCAATTCGGATCGGCGGTGTCGATTGCATTCGAGGCGCCCACAGCGGCATAGCTGCTATTGCTGCCCGCTGCACAAACATACGAACCGCTGCCGCTGCTGAGCGTTGAGGTTGCATTCGCAGCATTGGCTGCCGCCGCTGCTGAGGCAATGGCCGCTGCTGCCGCCGAACTGGAGGGCAGACTGAAGGTGGTGGGACTGCTGCCGCTGTTGCTGCCCCCGTTCAACGCACCCGGCGAGGCCAGTGGCGAGGATGGTGCACTTATCGGCTGTGTGATTTGTATATTGTGATCGGTGGCGCTGCCCGAACCCGCACCTGGACCTGCACCCGCTCCCGGTGAGGTGAGTGCCGCGTTGCGCTGTTGTTGCTGCTGCTGCTGGTGATTGTGCGGTGGCGAGTGCAAGAGTCCGTTGCCATTGTTGAGCGTCTCCACTGCAAATGCAGACATTATAAATTTAGAAAATGAAACGCCGATTTCAATATTGCTAAACTATCTAAGTCATTCCCAACCGAAGTCCGCCAGTCTCTGCAGAATGCGCTGCAACATTTGGCAACCGTTTGTCGCCTCGACCTCACTTCCGCTAATGCGTTACCAGTTGTACTTGGTGTCCCCATTTGTTGGGGCTGCACCAAATGCGGCGGCCCCCACCCTCTCCTGTGACGCTCCCCTATTGCAGACGCGCGCACAGCTCAATCGTAAAGTGGGGAGTCCAAAAATAGCTGCTGCTGCTGCTAAATCTGCAGCTAGCGAGATTTAGCACGGGCGCCCCCCAAAAAATAAAAAAATCACCTTTGTCTGCATAAATACATAAATAAAAATAATAACGCGCTTCTTCTGTTTGTATGAGTGCATAAATATATATATATATATATGTGGTGTATGTATATGTTTGTGTGTGTTCGGAGCAAAGTTTGAAAATTTAGCCTTGTTTGTTGTTTACTATATGACAGAATCGCGTGATATATTCGAATTTTAGCTGTAAACGCAAATCGGGAGCTAAACTAAACAATTTGTTTGATATTTTTTAGAGTGAGCTTAATTCAAGTTCGTGTTTATCCTTAAATTAAAATGCACTAAATAAAAATCTAGACTTAATCGTCGTCACCTTTTAACTCGTCGCAAATTCACACACACACACACAAGCAAGCCTAACACAACAGTCGCTGCTTGCTTTGTGGAAAATCGATAACACACACACACACATACGATGCATAGGCGACGCACCTGCTATTTTGTGTATTTTCTTACCATTTATCCAGCCGCCATTTAGCTGAGAGTGCGACATGGATTCCTGATTGCGCTTGTTGGTCGATTTTAACGAGAATCGATTTAATGCATTATTATTGCTGCTATTATTATGATTATTGCTGCTGCTGCTGGCCATGATTGCGTTTTGTTTGCTTATTTTTTTCTGCTGTGCAGTTGGAGAACGGAAAATTTCCAGAGAGCTCAGCAAATCAACTATTTCTCACTAGTTCATGTGTGTGTGCGCACTTTGCCTTTATTTGTATTTGGTGGCATGAAGTGCAAATTTTTGTCTTCAATTAATAGGCGACATAATTTTCACGTCATTTTAAAGTGAAGTAAAATTTTCGTGTATCGGCTAAAAAGAACTTGTCGAAGTCGGCAGATGATAAATTAAATCGATAGATTGTGGCGGTATGTCAATAGGCAGCTGTCTACAATCTACAACAGCGTTGCATTGGAATTGTCGTGTGCTATAGCAGTCAGCCTCTTGGCAACTATGCGCTGCTGCGCGCGTGTTTTGATTTTCAATTAGCTTCACATCTGTTTTGCAAGCGCTTTTGGGCCGTAATTTATTGATTATATCACGGCTGCAGCTAATATATATTTCCGTCATGCTAATTTGATAACCCGTGTGCGCGCTCGCGCACTTTACGCTGCCCCATTATAAAAAACGTCAATGCGTACGTGAGTCCCAAAACATTTACATAGCCTTGCAGCAGCAGCATCAGGTGTATATATACAACTATTCATATATGTAGATGAGTATATAAGCGCATGGTTTTAAACTTGAGTCATTTATATATATACGACTGTATACTGTGGACGAATACTGCTATTGATTATAGCTGCGTAGCGCATAAATTTAATACGACCACCAAACGAAAAAAAATTTGAACTTGAAATTGATTTGGTTTTTGGTCGCTTGTTGTTTTTCTTTTTTTTTTTTTTTTTTGGTCATCAATGCTGTCAACACTGAAGGTTTGTTTGTTTCTACGCAAAACCAGTTTGTTGCTTCTGTGCAGCCGGCACAGACTTAAGAAAGCCAGTTAACGAAAATAAAAATTATGTTGTTGACCTCTACGCCAATGAATTTTCAATGGTTTTCGCCCCCTCCTTATCAATATCAATAAACTTACTGTTGCGTTGGTGTTCGGGCGGCGGCTGTTCCTCGTTTTCCGGTACACGTGCCGCATATTCCGGCTCATAGTTGTGGGCATAGGCGCTGCCCCAATGGCCGGCAAAGTCGTCCTCTTCGAGGGTCAACAGATGATCGAGCACCTGAACGCCCCGCTCGAGGGGACCGTGAAATCGATTGATGAGCTCGGAGAGACGCAGATTGAGGCCGTGGCCAGTTGGCGCCTTCGACGTATCGACTGTTGCCCAGTAGAACAGATGACGGCCCAGATGACTGCTTAAATGGTTTGCGAACGCCTCGATCATCTTTGCAGCATCATTGCGTCCAGTTTTGGCATCTTTTTCTTTTTGGTTTTTTGTTTTTTACTTTTACAGTCACGCTACTCGTGTTGCGACTCCCACGGCTTTTTTTTTCCTGTAACTAATCAAAAAGAGAGGAAAAAATAACGTGATCTTATTATATAACAATATTAATTACAGTCACTGAACTCTCTCTAGCTGTCTCTCTCTCCGAACTCTACTTTTCTTTCTCTGTCTCTCTCTCTCTCTCTCTCTCTGTCTCCCTCTCTCTCTAACCCGCTTTGTTCCCAATCTCCTGAGCTTCTGAGCTGCACTTTCACTTCCACTTCCACATCCACTTCCACTTTAACTTCCCATTTTTATTTCCACACGCATCGCTTATTTTTCTTCGGGTTTTTCTTAGCCACATAAAACTGACTCGGCTGTGGCTCATTGTATATGGGTCGCTCTCAGCTGCTCTCTCTTTATCTTTCTCTGTGCTCTCTGCTCACGCAATCCGCGCTGCTTTCAATTTCACAGCCATTGTCTTAGACAGAATCCACACAGATGTCCGGCGCGGATTGCGGGCACAACGGAAATTATGCAAGCGGCTAATTTTAATAGGCAGCACTGCGAAGTCCGTAACCAAAACAAAACGTCAACAGTAAACACACACTCACACACATACACACACACACACATATACACCCACACATATACTGGACAATACAATTTTGTAGCGTCATGCTGCTGACTGTGTGCCTGAGGGTATGTGTGAGGGGGTGGAGGAGGGGGCTGCGGGAATTCGCTTTACAATTAGCAACTGACAAATTATTTGTTCGGCACCCACTGAAATTTTGGACTTCTGATTATTTCCGCAAACGCAATTTGTAGATCTTTTAATTAGATGATTTTTGATGATCTCGAAATTATTATTATTATTTTTTTTTTTTTTTGAAACTACGAGCAGCGTTTGAAATGGCATATACCATTTAATTGGGCATGGCTACTGGAATGCAATTAAAAATAATGCAAAAATGATTGAAAATAATAATTAAAAAATATATGAAATAATTATTTTTTAATGACTGAGCCACGATTTGAGTACAAATGAGAGTCGAAGAAAACGGATTTTGAAAGAGTGTATATAAAACGTAATAAAAACCAGAGAAAAGCTTAAATACCGCGCATATATAATGTACATGTACTGTATAATTATAGTATTGTAATCCAATATGGTAATAGTAATTTGCTTGTCTTAAAGATCCTTGTATTACAAATGTTTTGCAACTCAATTTTTGAGCGAGCTTTTCTATTTGATATATAATAATATCTGTAATATATATGAATAGATATACATATCAGGTACAGATATTATATACCAGTACAGAGGTGTGCTTTAAACAGACAAAAGAAAGAAAATAGTTAAAGTTTTTCATAAATATTTTACTAGCACTAATAAAACTTTATATATATATATATACATATAGAGAGAGAGAGATATATATATAATAAACTATATAGTATACGTATACTTATTTGTCAGACAAAATTGCAATTTATGCTAAATGCATTTCACCGCTTGACAACCGAGTCACGTTTAGTATTCATCAGCTTAGTGATTTTTTTTTTATTTTCTCTTGTTTTTTATTAAAGGTTCTGCTGCTGTTTTTTTTTTTGTTTTTGTTTTTTTTTCTGCTGTGTTGTTGTTTTACTTATGCACATTTTCGCATTGGGAATTGAGTTCTTAGTTAATTTGTGTTGTTCCGCTTTGACTTTTGCCAGTTTTGTAAGCGCATTTCAAATTTGCCGCTTGCATTAACTCGACGCGCCCTTTTCCTAATTTATGTATTTTTTTTTTTTTGGCGCTGTCTCGTTGGCTTCGCTGAGTTGTTTTCATTACATCTTTAATTGCAAGCGTCGACCCACATTGGGGCCAGGCCGGGTCAGACCGAGCGACGGACGATGGACGATGGACGATGAACGGGGGCAGACATGCGACAAGCACAGACCCAGACCCCAAAGCGACCACAAAACAACGCCCGCGTAACACTTTCGATTTTTATTTCCTCATTACACGCGCTCAGTGCAAAGAAATGAAAAGACCAAAAATACAAGAAAAAAAAACAAAAAAAAAAACTGAAGAGTTTTATTTTTTATTTTTACTTTTGTTTTAACTGTTTGCGGTTTATTTGTTAACTTTGCGGCGCTGCTGCTGAGTTGGTTTTGTCTTTTGTTTTCTCATTATACCTTTGCTCATATTACTACAAGCCAATTTAAAATATATATACATAACATATATGTATATTATACATATTTTGTTGCATTTTCTTATATTTTCAAGCCGATTGTGCAATAGCAACGCATTTGCGCTGATTACCAAAATATGACCTCCCCCCCTCCCCACAAATAAAAAAAAAAAACAACAACAACAAAACTAGATGGCCAAAACATGCTTGGCTTTTGAATCTAAGCCATCGCCGTCTGAGCAGCCATTCGCTAACGTGGCTGTTGATTTGTCGATTTAGCGCTTTAATTACAAGAGCTTGTCTGATCGTGTAGCCCAATAAAAAGGGCATTACGGCTAAGCTGTTAAGCTAGGGATTGCAAGAAAATGTAGCAAAGATTTTTATTTATATACCCTGAACTATTAAAAATGGGTTGAAAGGGTATATTGGCTATGCCCAAAGTATGTAACAAGCAGAAGGAACTGTAAATATTATATAGAAAGTATAAATATAATTGATCAGCATGAAAAGCCGAGCTTATTTAACCAAGTTGGTCGGTCTGTTTGAACAAACCGATCGTAGAGACGCTCAGAGCTATAGACTTGAAATTTGAAATATAAGTTTTATCAAGTTTACCGATTATCGGATAACGCGTATCGATTCATAAAGATTAATTTGATTGATGAATAATATAAATTGATATAGTTTTGACCAATTGCAAAAATTTCATCAAGTTCAGATACGGAATATGTTAGTCAAAGGGAATTTTGCCAATATATGTGGTATAAAATAAATTGAGCAGCTGGGTTCAGGGTATATCGTAGTCGACCACATTCGAGTACAGCATTCTTAAATGTTCAGCCTAAAGGCTATATCTTATTTTAATACCCTGAGACCATACAAACTCAGAAGAAGGTTATAATAAAGTTGTGCAAAAGTATCTAATAGGCATTAACTATATACAATCTTGATCAGCATCAAATGCTGAGTGGAGATAAGCATTTCAGTCTGTTTAATATTTAAATATATGCTACAACTCAAGGGATATATTTAGGTATATAAAAGTGTTTATTATTCCTGTTAACCAAAAACTGCTTTTACAAATCGTTAAAGACTATTAGCATATGTTTATAGAAATTATTCAAAAATAATCCATAATTAAGTATTGTTAGAAAAGGTCTCAGATAACTGCATATATATAATTTTACTGCAGTGGGTCAAATATGATTGCCCTTTTGCCATTGAATCTACACGGTTTCTACTAAGAACTGAGACTCGTTCATTTGACAGCTGAGAGTATCTGCTGATCGTCATTATGATCTGCACTCATCTTTCAGTTGCAATTCTTTATGTTGACGCCTGGGATCTGTTGTGCTGTGTTGTGTAGTCTGTGTTAGTTGTGCTAGGTGTTGTCAAATTACTTTATGCCTCGTTTCAAGTGCCCTTAGGTGGTTTTGCAATCATTCACTCAACCAGCCAGGTAGTCAGCTAGTCAGGTGTCGGTTGGGGTTAGTCAGTCAGTCAGTTAGTCACTCATTAAGTCAGTCAGTCGGTTGGGCCTTGCGGTTTAGACGCTTTGATTTGCAGATAATTTTATAGACATTAGTGTGCAGTTTTTTTAAAACACGTTTTCAATATTTCTTTTTGTGCAAATACATTCATGTACATATAAATATATACATTGTATGCACAAATCAAATTTTTGTTGTGCGTTTTTTCTTTTTTTTTTGGTATGTCATGCTGCATTTAGTCTAATGACTTGCCGACTTAACATTATTTTTCTGTTTTGAATGGCTTTTGAAGTGTTTTCAAAGTGTTTCACAATGAGTTCAAAAATCCCCCCATAATCACTCACACACACAAACACACATACATACGCACATCCAAAGTTGTGTTCTTTATCGAGCTTAGAGTGATTCGCATTATTTGGTTTTTGTTTGCGCCTTCTTGTGACATTCTCAATATGTATATTCATATATATATATATATAAATATCTATTTTATATATTTTGATTGAATTGTTGGTCTTTCTTATTTTCCCCTTTGCGCAAAATGAAAAAACCAGTTTTGTAGCTTTGTAAGCTTTATTTGCACAATTTCTTAAGCTTGACAATATTCTAAAGCGGCATTGAATTGTCATCAGGTTTTCGGGTTGTCCAAAAAATGTTTGTTTTTGTATTCCCCCCCTCCCCCATCCCCTCCCATCCCCTTCTATTTTTGTATTATTTAATATTTAAATATTCAGTCGCTCACGCTTCTCAAGCGGAATTTCAATGAGAATACATAAACGCTGCTTATTTATTGTAGTCTAGCAATGGGTGGGGCGAAATTGTGTTTTTGTTGCTATTGGTATTTGGCTGGCGTAGACAAAATGGAATCTAAATATATTTGTAAATAAGTGCAGGGCCTGATCGTGGCTGCTGTACCTTAAACCTTAACTTGGCAAATAACTGATTATTAAGGAAAGTAAATAACAGCTTTGGGCAAATTATATGGTAAATATATTAATTATATTTCGAGGTGCAAAAGACGTAATGATAATAAGTTGAAATTACAGCTAAAGTCGCTGTCGCATTAACAATGCACTGTGCAAACGTTAATTAAATGAATTTTTTTTTTTTTTAATTATTAGTAGTAGTAGAATTTTGTATGCTATTGGGAAATGCAGTGTTGTTGAGTATTATTGAGAAACACGACACAATTCAGTCACTCATTAGACTCGAGTGCTATTCAACACTGGTGGCGACTCACAATGACCAATCAGTGAGTTGTCAAAATTGTGCCAAATCATTCGGCACACTTTATTGTGCCGCGCTGAGTTAAGAACACTGCCTGCCAATTGTTTACTTTAGTTAGTTAGTTATTCAGAATGTTCAACTAACATTCTAATAAAATCGTATGACATGCGGCCATACTTGAACTTTAGTTTGTTTGACTTGCTGCTAATAGCTAATTTTAGTATACGCATCACCATTTTTTTTTTTTTTTTTGCTTACACAAAACTGTTTCTTTTTACTAGTTTAGTAGACCTATTGGTTTAAGGCAGGTTTTAATATATTATCAAAATATTGTTATAGTTTTGTAAACTGGCACTGATATATAATTGTATTTAAATCACACTGTTTTCTACATTGAGGTCAACGAGTTTTACATTGGATCAACGAGTAACACAAGAAAAAGAGAGAAAGAGAAAAGGAGAGGCAGGGAGAGAGAGAGAGATACGAAGAGAATGAATGAAAACAAAAAATAACCCGGCGAAATGAATATCAAGCAGCGTAATTTTATTCTATTTAGTTGTTGAGTTTGCGTTTTGTTAATTGCATTGCACTTCACTTGATGTGAACTGTTTTTGTTGTTGTTTATTTTTAGACATTTGGCGCTGTTATTGTTGTTGTTGTTGCTGCACGCACTTTGCCGGCTCTCAGCTAAATTGCACATAAATTAAAACGTCAACACAATTAAAATTATTCAAACAGTTACTCACGAAGATGCTCAAAGACAGTCAGATACATTTGAGCATTCAATTTTTACCGATATATTTTACATGTGTTTACTTTATATCATCTGGTTTGTTTTTTTTTTGCGCATGCGCGTCGATCGTCTCTTCTGCTTGCTGTTGCTGGCTGACCGATTCGAGTGTTGTTCGCGAGTCAACGAACGAATTCGTAATGACACGACGACAGCCACGAAGCAGCTTGACAATCGCTGAGCGCCGGCAGCGACTCATGTGTTTTTTTTTCTTTTTTTTTTTTTTGTTGCTCAGCTGCTGATGCGTTGCCTTGAGAGACACCTGAGATATATTATATATATATATGTATATATATGTACATATATTTATCGCATGCGAGAATTGAGCGTGATTCGTGTGGGTAACTTTATTTATTTTATTTTTTGTTGTTCACTGATTATTTGCAGATGTGTGTGAACAAAGTTTTGTTTACAAATTCAATTTGATTTTTATGCCCAGCTTTTGACAAGCGTTAATTTTTGTATTTTTATTTTTTTTTACCCTTTGCATAAGGTCTTACAGCTTGAAATGAAGTTGACATCGGAGTACAGTGAATATAGCTTAAAAAGTAAGCAATTTGCGAGACATAAATATGCAAGTTGATGTCTTAATCGCTTAAATTGAATGAAAATGATATCATTTCTATATGCACACTATTTCAATGGGGTAATCGAAGATTTTGTTTAAGTAGTTTTAAAAAGAAAATATGCATCATCTAAATTTGAACATAAATTTAAAATATCAATCGATTGTTCCCATGAAAGTCATATGATGATTTTGTACAAATATTACTAGCTCAATAAGAAGCACATCCAATGAGTTCGGATAACTTAGACAACAAAAAGCTTCTCATATAAAAAACTCATCTTTCGATCGATTGCTTCCGTGAAAACTATATGAAATTGTAGTCTGATCTTAGTACGCATGTTGAGTTGGAGTAACTTGCTAATTAAAAAAGGTTTTCTTACAAGCCATCTGGGAACAGATCGTTCCAATGGCAGCTATATGATATAGTGAGTCGATCCGACTAGCTACGTAATATGTGACGGATGTATGCCAAGTTTCGACAAGATAGCTTCAAAATTGAGCGACTAATTTTGATGTCACCCAATTAACGATTATAATAATTTCTGGTAATATTCCAAAATAACTAATTTGTGTGCTTAAAATAGATTTACAGCGTAAATGTTTATGTGAATGTATGTATTTTTTGATATATAAACGCAATCCGTTCAGCTTGGGCTTGGACTTGTGCTTAATTTATTGTTAATTGATTGAAACAGAATGCGGCTAATGGAGGTTTGTTGATTTAGTTATTGCCAAATATATTTGTGCAAACCACTGACGCAATACTAGTTAATAATTAATCGTGGCTAAATTAAATTGCAATTAAGCCAAAGAGCAAAGTTAATTGCGGCAAGGAAAGCGTTTAACCAAATTGCTGCCATTTGGCAAGGGCACAATGTGAATTGGCCAGAGAGGGAGAGAGAGAGAAGGAGTGGAGGTGCTGGGGCGGGATGGGAACGCCCAAAACGATAATTGCTGTCATGACAAACGCAAAAATAAAGTTTAAATAATAATAATTTAACTGGCTCTTCTCGCTTGCAATGAACGCCATTTGGCGGACAGGGAAACATTAAGAAACCATTAGCAGCAGCGGACACCGTAAACGCAACACCTCCCCGCCACAGCCCCGCTCTCCTTACAATCCACCACCCACATGGACTCCACCGGGCAACTGTCAAACAGTAGATGAACGTTTGCAACCAGCTAGCAACTGCAACAGCTGCTGTGGATGACTGTCTGCTGCAGAGAAGGGTCAATGCAGCAACAGCAGCGACAACGGCATCATTTTTCAAGTGGAGCCACTTGACTCGGCAGTCGAGAATGAGTGGGTATGGTGGGTGTGGTTGGTATGGTGAGGGGTAGAAGTAAGGCAGGACCCGGCTGCCTCAAATATGCGCATTCATTAGGGTTTAATAAATATTTTTTCAAGCACTGTTGCCGGATTTTGCGATAAGCGCTGTGGTTGTAATTGCCGTCGACGCTTAACAGCAGCCTCAGTGTGTCAAGTTGTTGCATAAACAACTCTTAAGGGTCGGCCCAATGGGCTAATGTGCGGTCTGGCACATCCCCTCTCCCCTACACACACACACACACGCGCACACACACATACGCACACACACACATACGCACACACACACATACAGCATGTGTGCACAATTTCTTTACTTCAATTTAATAATTCAGTTTTGTATGATGCGTTGAATGCAAATTTAAGGCTGCCGTTTGACGGTCAACTCACTTGTGCATAGTCTTAACTGTTTGCCACACTTCCTCCTTCACTTCCTTCCTGCCTCCCCTTGTGTCTCAACTGAATTGCTTCTCAAATATTAGCATCGTCTCGCTTTGCGCAGATCGCAACACAAGGTTGCCTGTTGTGGTCTATTGTGGACTTAGTCATTTGTATTGAATATTTAGTATTTGGTATTTGCTTTTCATGTTTGTATTGTTTTTATGCCCTTGTAGAAGCCATTATAATTTGGTCGTGATATGTGTAACGCACTGCAGCCGACGTCTCAGGCGCCATAAAATATATATATTTCTGATCAGCGTGACCAGCCGTGTATATTTTTGTGGACTTGTTAATCTGTCTACGCACACTAGTCGCTCAGCTTTAAAGCTATCTTGATGAAATTTGGACAAAAATGTCATTAATATCAGACTACTTTATCCTATAGCTGTCACAGGAATAATCAGCCGAGAGACCAGTTTTTATATAAACAATTTATCCTGACCAAACTCTTCACTTATGTTCAAGAATAATAAATAGGTTCTTAAACTTATAGTAAATTTGAGACAATGCCAATTTGTCTCCGGTCTAAGAGGGTGTTTAATCTTCGACATGCGTCAGAAAGCCTTCTTTCTTTGTTGTTGTTGCTTGGGCTCTTCACACACTTTTTCGCACATTTTCGAGCCAAATAGGCTGTTGCGTGTTTGTCGTCGGCTGCTCTTTGTTTGTTTGTGGTTATTGCCGATGTTTGCTATTGGTCAATTACTAATTGCAACACGCTGATGGGTCTCACCTTTTTTCCAGTCCAAGTAGAACTAATTTCTCGTTTGATGGGCAAACACATAAAAAAGAGCGAGAATAAAAATGCTTCGTGCCATGCGCAACGTGACGTATGCGCAATATTATCTTGCATTTTCAGCTTTAACAAAAAATTATCGCATGCTACAAAAAAAAGCCCACTTTGCAGCTGTCGCGTTTTCTCTCCCTCTCTCTGTCTGTTCTCTCTCTCTCTCTCACGCTCTTACTCAATCTTTGGCTCGCTCTCGTTGCATGTCTTTCGTGACGGCGCCCAATGTCAGCATCTTGTAAAAGTTGAATGAATTAAACATAAAAAAAACGAGAAAAAAAAATAAATATATAGCAGCTTAGCGCTGGGGTTCAAGTTTGTTTTTCGGCTCTGGCCGGTTATTGACTATTTTCGATTTCAATGCTTAGAGCCGCATTGAAGGTCGCTGAACAAGTTCTTCTGCTGCTGCTGTTGCTGCTGATCCGACTTGCGTTGGCCCTGAAGTTTGAATTAAGAGCAGAAAACATGTTGCTCTCTTTTCTTTTTTTTTCTTTTTTTTTTGGTTTGGTGCTTTTGATTGACAAATTCCTTATTTGCAGATCCCTGTCTGTACATAATGCGCTTCGCGAACCGACTCCAGCTGGGCGCCAAGACGCACGAGGTGTCCATGACGGCGCTGCGCATTGTGCAACGCATGAAGAAGGATTGCATGCACTCGGGTCGTCGGCCCACAGGACTCTGCGGCGCTGGTGAGTTGTGCCTTCCTCGCTCGTTTAATTGGCAACTCTATTTAATATGTGTTCTTTGGGATTTTTCAGCACTGTTGATTGCCGCTCGCATGCACGAGTTCAGTCGCACCCTGGCCGATGTTATCGGTGTGGTTAAAATACACGAGTCCACGCTGCGCAAGCGTTTGTCCGAGTTCGCCGAAACGCCCTCGGGTGGATTGACCCTCGAGGAGTTCATGACCGTCGATTTGGAGCGTGAACAGGACCCGCCATCGTTTAAAGCGGCACGCATTAAAGATCGTGAGCTCATCCAAAATGTGAGTATGTAACTCTAATCCAATCGGATTTAGTTGTATTTTTTTTGGCCAATAGTTAAGGTTTGACCTTGATCTAAACTCATTCTATCATTTAGATGGGCGTGCATGAATTAACGGAGCTGCAGAAGGAAATCGATGCGCATTTGGAGAAGGATATTGGTAAATACACGGACAGTCTACTGCGAAAGGCTTCAAAACGCAAGAAGGAGGAGTCTGCTCAGTCCAGCAGATCCCAACCGATCTCGGAAAAGGAACTGGAAATGGAGGAGTCCATACAGTTTATTGAGGCATCCAATGCCGAGGTGATTAAAGAGTTTATCACAAGCAACACGGAGGACTCAAAGCCGCAAGCGGTCATGACCAGTGCCGTCATCGAGGGACTCCGTCCGGATATCGAGGCCATTTGCCGTGTGACCGAAAGCGAACTGGCGGATGTGGAGCGTGCCAAACAGCCAGCTGAGACGGAACTATTCATAGATGATCTGAACGATGAGGAGCTGGATCAGTACGTGCTGACGGAGCAGGAGGCGGACACTAAGTTGGATATGTGGAAAAATCTAAATGCCGAATTCCTTCGCGAGCAGCAGGAGCGCGAGGAGCGCCTGGCCAAGGAACGTGAGGAGGGCAAGCCGGAGAAGAAGAAGCGTAAGCCGCGCAAAAAGGTCATCGGACCATCGTCGACAGCTGGCGAGGCCATCGAAAAAATGCTGCAGGAAAAGAAGATCTCCAGTAAAATTAACTATGACATTTTGAAGACCCTCACCGAAGGCATGGGCACATTAACAGGCGACAGTGAGTCAGCACCGGAGCCCATGAAACCCAAGACACTGGAGGAACTGGAACAGACGCCCGTCATTGTCGAGGAGGGACCCATCTCGAGCAAAAATAGCCGGGATAAACCCAACTACGATATGCCAGGACCCAGTCGAAAGCGCGTCAAAGTGGAGGCGGCACTGTCCGTCACTCAGTCCGAGGAACAGCTGGAGGCAAAGCCGGAGATTGCCGTTGAGCCAGGTGAGTTGAGTTTTGTGCGCTTTACTTTTTGGCATAGTTTGTATTTAAATCACTGCATTTTCAGATGACTTGGACGAGGAGGCCGAGGCAGATGAGGCAGATGCCGATGTCGATGTCGACCCCGAACCGGAGCCAGAGGCAACGCTGCAGGACATGCTGAACCAGGGCGCTGGCGATGAAGACGACGAATACGGCTATGGCTTCGATGAAGAGGAAGAATATTAAACTAAGCAATTGCATTTAGAATTGGCGCACATTCTGCATGATTATTTTTATACACTAATCAGCGACAACTCATATTATAATTAAATTAAGCATTCAATTTTTTATCCACCTTGTTCGAGTGTATTCTGTTTTTTTACTCGGTCCTGTTTCCTTGTGTTGCTTTTCTTGCCACTTTCCACTAGCTGCACTTGTTGCAGTTTCCCCGTCTGTTTTTGCGCGTTAGCAGCCATTAAATCATCGCTTCCTCCTGCCCCATGGCCTTAACGCAGCCATTTACATGTTTAAGCCGTGTTGCCGTTGCCTCCAGGCCTCAAGTGAAGTGAAGTCGAGTGGATGGTGTTGGTGGAATGTTGGGGTCTGTTGCTGCCTCTTTGTTGTTAGTTTGCTTCTAATTGTTGGCGCTGCCGTGGCGCGCCTCCAAGTGCTGCAAATAAATATTTCACCCTTAATCATGTTTTGCGCTCACTGTGTGTTGTGTGCTTGCTTCTTGTTGTTGCTGTTGCGCCCCAGGCGGCAAGTCGACCAGGCAGCCAGCCAGCCAGCCAGCCAGCCATGCAGCCAGCCGGTCAGAGATGTCGGTAGCCAAGAACTTGAGTTGGCTGCTCGACTGGGGCTCCACGGGCTGGCCGGTACTGTTGAGTGCCAAGTGCTCGGCAATGAGCCGTTGAGTCCTTGAAGCACTTGTCTTTGCGATTTTATAGTTATTACGCTGTAATTAGTGTTAATTTAGTTGCTTGCGCACGGCAGCCGAACTAAGTTAACAATTCGCAAAGTGTTTCATACTTTTGGGCTGTTGCACAATTACCATTTCCGGTTTGGTATCTTCGTAACTTGAGTCGACGTATTGTGTTCACAGTTGCTGCAGTTCTTAGCTTTCACTTTAAGTTGCACTTAAAACATGAATACAAAGTCTTAAATAGGATACCGCTTCAAGGAACTTAATCTTGAAGATATTGTATGAGGTATGTATTTGTAGTCATTTAAACAATGATACTCTTTTTAAATATAACCAGTATTATATTCATAGATAAGTTAAAATCCTTATATTCTTTTATATCTCTTTGGAACCGAGGCTTTAAATAAACAAAAATGTTAAATAAAATTACATATTAGATTATCCAAAATTGAATAATAAAATAAATATTAATTGTGGATTGTGGAAACCTTAAACCCTAAGGACTCTTGTAAAATATTCACTTTCAGTAAGCCAATTTCAGAATCTATTCAGAATCATTTGTAATTTCGAAGTACACATATCGATATACTAAGTAATCTGGAATGGCTTGGTGTTCTGTTAGAGAATCGGGTGTGTATACGGAATGGGTAGGGCTTGTTCTCCGGTACGGTAATGTTGTTTGCTTTGTCTCCTGGAGCTGGGCTGATAAACGACTTTGTTTTGCATGCCGTAGAGGTTCAGGTCGTAAATATTAGCAACGGGTAAAGGGCTGTAGCAAATTTGCGTGCATTTAATGCCTGTCCGCAAATTTGCATAAGCTCCGAGCTTAAAGCAAATGATTAATAAAACGCACACGTCCACTTAGATTACTTGGAGTGCAGTTACAGTTATGGGCGTGGCACTGGATTAGCTGCCAGCGGCCAACTTTATATAATAACGTCAAATGTATGCACATGTAAATCCAGCTAAATGTGACAGCCAAATGGCAATTAGAGGGACAACTCTTTCTACTCTCGCCGCCATCCAGATATTTGAAAGTTTTCTGGCTTCTGGGCGGCCAAAATAAACCAAGCATTGCCCCAAATTTATGCAGAATAGAAAGCAACAGAGGTGGAGATGGAGATACAGACAGAGCCATTAATAGAAAGGAAGAAACAATTTTACGAATTGGAAATTGAGTGCAGTTTAAGTAGCGCTTTTGATGTGCATAATTTGGGAATAATCCATTCATTAATCATTAAAGCTATTAATCTTTAAACATTTTCTGTCATGAACAACGCGCCTTTATGTGCCTTTGTTAACTGTCATCTGCGGTCCTGTAATTAAAAAATTCTCTTTTTTTTTCATATATACACATTTTATATATATTTAATATATACATATATATATATTTATGCCCACCTACGTGTATGTAGTTTTAACGCTGACGTATTATATTTGTATTTTAATGCAGTTTAATTAAAAAGATTGCCAAGCTGAAGCCATTTTTATGGTTTTTTCTTTCAGTCGGTTGGTTTTTTTTTTTTTTACCGCTCTTTACACATTGCCTATGGATTTGCGGATTTTAATTTGTGGCCAATGGCGAAAGGACATGCCAATCAGTAGCAGAGAGCATTTTAAAAGCTATTAGCCTGCGTCCTAGCAATACCCATCTGAATGATATTGCCGATTATATTTTCTGAAGAGCTACGTAGGTGGTCAATAAATTGTTGTTAATCAAAAATAAACATTGCACGAAGCTGTACAATGGCAAACAAATCAAGTTATAGGCCAAACCAGGTTATAAATAGACACACCCTTAGTGTGCCAAAAACGAAATTATTCTTTTATCGAATGGCAAATATTATTATTCTGCTTCGTTTTCTTGCGACCTGCTGTTTTGGATAGAATGTGTAGGCGAATTCGATTCATGGCTTTTTTTCCATTAAGCTAAAAAAAGGACTTAACTTGGCCATATCCCTGGTCAATATGGATGAGTGATTTGCTTTAAAATTGCTGTTAAAATTATAATTCGACTCCACTTTGCAAAAGTAGGACCTATTTTCACTTGCTGTACTAGAATCACAAGGATCAACACTATTGGAATGCATTCAAGGATTACAGATTCATCGTAGATACCCATCACTTTTAAAAATGTCACCAGTAGATCAATCAAAGGATATTCTTTGGTTGGTGGTCCTGGTCACAACAAAATATTCGACATGGCACTCGAGTTCCAACAAATCCTTAGAAATTTTCGAAAAACATGGCAGAAACCGCTTTTTAATTGGAGCATCGAGACTCCATGGATCCCATGAGTAAGATAACCATGCCTAAAATTATATTCACATTTGCCACAGCGAAATCAGATTATTTTCACGCGATTTTCTACACATTTAGAAGTGGGTGTGTGTGTGTGAGTTTCCCACGGCAGGTGGCACTTAAATTTTGTTTAACTTGATTTATTCCAATGTCATTACACACATATGTATATATGCATATGTACTTACAAATTGTGTGTATCTAATTTATGCGCTAATTATACATGTTGTTTTGTAGTTTCGGTGGCATGAATAAATTAAATGCTTTTTACACAGCTACCCACCAATTAATTTCGTTACTAAATGATTTGTTTAGTAATTGGTTTCTATACACACACTGTGGTATTTCATTAAGGGGATTCGTAATATAACATCAAAATCTAAAAAATTAGCTCACATTTTAATATATATTACCAGTATTAGTTTGTTTCAGTTGCAAATATTATTATTTTGTGGCCACCTTTCTGCTGTGATTGATTATGAAGTTATATAAGTGGCTAGGTCTTTACGGGCTCGAATTCCAGACTGGGCGGAAGAGGGATTGTTTAAGCTGTCTGCTTACATTTAAAATTAAAGCAAAACTACAGTAAATGTATATTATTAATTGTAATAATAAATACAATGTGACAAAATCAACTATTTATCATTAAACATTCAAATATAACAAATATAACAGATTATCGTTAATATCTTAAGCTTTTCTTAAACGCTTTTAAGCTACAACTTAACAATTGGTAATGGGCTTGGCAATGCTGCTTGCTCATTTATTGTCAATTACCTCACGCGCTTACACAAAGTCAACACTAAATGCGAGCGCAATTAGAGCGGCTGGTCTAAAGGACTAAAGGGTTAGCATTTGAAATCGACATCAAATGGCAAAGCCACTGTGGAGAGGTCAGTTAAGTATTGGTCAATCTGGGCTGCTGCGCAACGGCAGTTAACAGACAATTTCCAGCTGCCAAGCAGCAGGCAAGCAGCGCATAAACCCTTAAATGAACACACACACACACAGATTGGCATAAATAAACCACGCACATTTCGGCCTGCATGCAAATACTCACTAATAAAGTAAATAATGCAGACCACCTTCCATTATTCCGCTGGCAGCATTAAGCCCACACACACACACACACAATTACACGTGAGTTGTCTGTGTATTGAACATGAAGTGCCTGGCAAACTATGCATGGCTGTGATTGCAAAACACGACTGCAATTACCTGCCCTGCCGGGTTAACACAGTCACACACACACACACACACACACACACACACACACTTGGACCTGCATTTATGGCAGCAGGTTGGCAGGATCTGCGCCGCAAAATAGGCAACGATAATGGCATAAATTCAATGAATAAACATAAAATGGCAAACACATAAACAGCACCCATCTCTATGTGTGTGTGTGTGTGTGTGTATACGACTGTGTATATGGGGTGCAAAAGTAACAACAGCTACAACAAAAACAAAGACAACAACACCAACACCAACATGAACAGGAACAACATTCGCATCAGCAGTGGAAAAATATGTATTAGCCCAAAGTTTACTAACAAAATTAATTATGCGAATTAAGCGTAGTAAAAGCACTTTAAGCAAGTTAACCCCAAAGCCATGCAAACACTCTAACGCCCAATAGCCACGCCTCAGCCACAACGCCTCCCCCCACCACATTCATAACATGTGGCGCAGTTTGTGCCGTGTCACAGCCCGTGGCACAAGAGCAGTAGCACAAGGAGCGAGGCATTGTTCAATTTATGCGTGTATGCCAACAGCTCACGAGCCTTTGTTATTGTATGTGTGGCTGGGTATTGTGTTTGCCAGTTAGTAGTTTGCGGACACAAAAGTAGGCCAAGCACCCAAGGAGATGGGAGACGGACGATGGGCGATGGGAGCCGTGGTCCGTGGGCCGAAAGCCTGAACTCGGATTCCCATTTCGGACGGGTGGAACTTGCAGCCAGCAGCCAGCAAACCAGCAGCCAGCAAGCCAGCAGCCAGCTTGGAAGTTGTTTATTTAAGTGTGAAATTTGAGTGCAGCGCTGCGTAATGTGTAAGACCCAACGAATATTTAGCGTTATGTGCGGCTACCGAGATAAGCAAAATGGACCTTAATAACCGACGCGTTGCTCAAACCTATAATCATAAATCGACTTGCCTCGCTCGCCTGCCACATAATAGATAAAAAAAAAATAAAATTAAAAGCATCATATCGTGGGCGCCACAAAAACGCTGCACTTTTTTCCGGTGCAAGCAAAAAAAAAATATATATATAAAAATATCTCCGGACTAAATGTTACAAACGGCTTTTCGGCGCCATCGCTAACCGTGTGAGATAAAACAAAATGGCGGCAATGCGTTGTTGCGTTGACGCCAATTGGCAGCGCTGCGTTTGGCTGCTTGACGCCATGCCAAATTAGCTAAATGTCGAGACAGTCATTTAGTTAATTGCCGCACAAAAATGTCGCACCGAATTGGCAAACTTACTAAATCACAGCTCCGTTTTTTAAATTGAAAACATAAATATCGCAATGTAATATGAAAAAAAAACTGTTGTGTTTTTTCTTTTCCTTCAGATTGCCAAACAGGCACTGAATTTAATTTAAAAAGCTTTGTAATATTGATTATAATAAAGGTATACTTGAAATGGCTTAAGTTCATTTTGCATTAGCATCTAAGGCACGTCGAAAAGTAAAACAAAAACAATATAATTATGTTGGGTTTTTTAAGCGGCAAAAAGTGATGCACTATGTTTGGCGGTTAGACTAAGAAGAATTTATTCAATGTATTCTTAAGTAAAGGTATCGAGCGCAGTATCGATATCTTCTGTTATTAACATTAGTAATCGGAATGTTGTATTGATCTTTTACATATTTTTAACAAATTATAATACAGTTTCAATACCAAGAATTGCAAATATGAATATTTATATTAATCATATACATTTCAACATTTAAGACAATTGTTAAGCTTAAATAATTGCTTAATTGCCAAAAGTGCATAACAATTTATGTTGGAGAACCTGCAGATTTTCGTTGTCGAATTTAGAACAATGATAGCTGAAAGCTACAAAGTGCTTCAAGTTAACGGCTTTAATACGTTAAAACTTGTAATAAAGTTCTGGCCTCTAATAGTTGATAAGTTTTAGACCCAAAAATTTGTCGACAAAGCTGCTTGTTGAAAATGACAGCCGTGGCAATTAAAATTTGCACCTATCACTTGGCTAATTTATTAGCGTAGGAGAAAACTGCGTGCTAAGATTCAAAGAGCAAACAGATTATGTGGAATACCAAAAATGTCTTTGCCATAGAAGAGCTTTTTAGAGCAAGTAACTAACAAATTTTGTTTGCATACGGCAACTTTAAGCTATAAAAAAAAAAATTGAAATAATAGTTTATATAAGCTGTTGCAAACTTTTTGTGTAGTAAAGTTTTATATTTGCCTGCCAGTCAAATAGTTCTTGTGGTTGGGAGTCGACCATTAAATTTCCGCTAATTAGCAAGGCAAAGTTAAACAAAAATCAGCGAAAAATCAGCTTTCAATATGGTGTGGCATATGCCCAGATAATTAATTAGTGCTCGCTCGACTGATTGGTAAGAAACGATGGACTGGGTCCAAAACAATTAGCCAAGCCCCGAGACTGGCCAGCCAGCAGAATGGTAAGCAATGATGAAGCAGCCTGTGCAACGTTTGCTTGATTTTTATTTGGTCAACAGGACAGGCCAGCCGACAACTTTCTGTTGGCCCCACATTAAGTGGGCGTGGTGGGTTTTCTTTATGTAGTAAAACGTTTTTATTTGCCTTGCTGCCTTTTGCCTTTTGCCATTGCATGCTTTTTCATGTTCTTGATGTTGCTTGGCTGGACTGGCAGACTGGCAGACTGGCTGGCTGGTTTGCTTGTGCGCTTGTTTCTTCGAAAATAATGACTGCACATTAAGTATACGTCAAACATGACATACGCACTCACACACACACACACACACACACACTCACACATGCACACACATACACAATTGCAGAAAGCCGCCGTCCTAACACAAAGCAAGTAAAATGTCAACAAATGACAACAGAAATATGATGCAAATGGCTCATGTAAGTGGTTCTTGCCGCCAACATTTTTAAAAGAGGGACAACTTACAGTGCAGCAGCAACAACAACGAGTGGGCGTGGCTGCCACCCCCTTCAGCTCACTTATGGGCAAAGTAATAAAGCCTTAAGTCTGCCTTTGCTTATACACATTTGTGCGTGTGTGTGTGGAAGGACTACTGTAAGTTGTATTTAACTTAGAAATTTATCATTTTGTGCAGAAATTAGCTGGCATTCAGGCATCGCGCATTCGCCTCGTTAGCTCTGCAATGGGAGTGGGTTCAAGAGAGAGATAGGGGGCGAGAGACAGAGAGAGGGAGAAAGGGAGAACTCGTGCCGAACATTTTTCATGTCAACGTATGGCGTTGAAACGCCTTGAAACTCCGTCCGTTGCGCTGATTCACACCCGTCCTTTTCCTTATTCTCCTCTCCTCCACACACTCGGCGGCAATTAAAAGCACATTTAATATAAATTGTTTGCAAGCGCTTCGTGCTGCATTGCAAGGACACACACAAAACAAGGTATAAAATGGCGTTGGTGAATGTGGATGGGGAATGTCTTTAAAGCCAGACGAATGAATACGAATGCCTGGCCGAAGGACATTCAGCTGAAAGTTGAGCGGCTTTAATTAAGCAGCTGGTCTCAAAGCAAATGTATATTTGGAATTGTCGTCGCCGACTGCTCGATTGTGGCAACATGTCTGGCCTGTTGCTAATCTGTATTATGTGCGTTAAGTCGGCCAACCCTATCAACGTTATTTGTACAAAATATAACCAGCCAAAGTCCCGCACACAATTTGACGATTTGTGGCTAGCGAAATGGCCGAAAGCCACAGCCTGCCTGCCCAGTCAGTCCTTTAGTCCTTCAATCAGTTAGTCAGTTGGTCAGTTGGACCGCAGCCCTGCTTTGCTGGCTGCACAGTTAGCTGGGCAGTCATCCACTTGACCGCATTGATATTCCATGCTTGATGTCCGACGCTGTTGCTATTGGTCAATGATTTTGCTCGCTGTACTGGCCGGAGTGCTACTAACGATAGATGTCCTTAAGCCAACACAAACACACACACACACACACGCACACACATACACACAGATGCATGCAAGCTGGTGTGGACAGTAGCATAGGAAAATATTTATCTATACAGCGATATATATATAGCAAGTCGCTGCCAAAAATGTTGCTGGAGCGACGGCGGTGCTTTGTTAAGTTTTTACGTTTAATGAAATCAATTCACAAGTCACGTTGCTGCCGGACAATAAATACATCAGACTCCATTTAATAAAATCATGATGTGCACTTCGCTATGATATACGCACACACAATCACTATATTATACATACATATACACAAATATATACATTTATATTTATATGTATATGAACGTATGAGTATGTGTATCGTTTTTATATTATAAACAACTTTTATCTCATTGGAATGCCGCATATGACTTGACCATATACCATAATCATAGATATATATATATATATAAAGAACTATCCTTCTCATCCCTTATTTGTATGAATATATGTGTGTGTGTGTGTGAATGAATGTATTTGTGGGTATTTACCCAACTCTATAGCAATGTCAATTGCGCGATAAGTGCAGCAGTGCTGAACCATAATACCAAATCCGCATGAGCAACTGCTTAGGCTCTGGCAATTTGCTCTGGCTTTTAGATTACATTTTTAGCTCATTATATAGATGTAGATAAAAATACATATACATATGTAGCCCAAAAATATTGCAAGCTCATTTTTATTCGGGCAGATAGTGGTTTGTGGTTGCTTTTGGGCAGACGTTCGAGCTGCTCTGGGATCATAAATCTGAGGTATTAAGCAATTTGCTTGGCATTTGGTAAAAATATATAACATCTTCTATCTTTAAAGGACAATACCCACTGTCACAACTATGTGTGTACACAGACACATATATTATTTTGTTAGGCTATCAATCAAAATATGAGAAAAATTTCAATAAATTAGGTTAGGTTAATAGTTTATTTATTTTTTTATTGGTATTTCGTATTCAACTTTTTAATATGACTTTCTCATCTATGGGTACATATTTGTATTATATTTTAGCAATAATATAATATATTTAATATATAATTTAATTTTTCATCTATGGGTACAAATTTATATAAATATATTATATTTTTAGCAATAATATAATATATTTAATATAAAATGTATTATGATGATTGAAATCTGTTATTAATTATCATGAAATCATGATAATCATTTTTATGCTATTAAAATGTGTTACAATTTTCTAGCTTTCTTCATATATAATATATGAAGACAATGCATTTTTTCAATTTATGTCTTTTACTTTACTTTATTTAATTGAATACACTTAAGGAATGCTATCAATTTTATTTGAAACACCGTCATTTCATAACTGTTCCCAGTATTTGCCTGTACTTCACTCAAATTGCCATTACGCATGCGCAGTAAAGATAATCAGAATAGGTTGTTATTATTCCGCTATATTTTATATATAACGAGTATAGGTATTTAGCTTTTAGCAACCCCGCGATTATTTGGCACTGTTCTCTTCTTCCTCTATTTGTTAGCTCGATGCCGTTTGGTAGTCGCGATACCTGGCCTTATCAGCAAGACAGCATCTCTCAATTGGCAAACTGTGCTACGCTCAGCTGTTGGTGCAGTTCTCTCTTAGCCATGACCACAGCTAACTTCGTTTTGTTTTGCCGTATTTTCGAAAAGCTCTCTCTCCCTCGTTCTTTCTCTTAGCCAGCGAACGAACTGCATCGCTTCGTGCGGTATTTTGTGGTACAGATGCGCACGAGCGTGTGGCAAACGAGGCGAGTGGTGCCTCGTTTTGCGGCGAGACACGAGGCTGGCTGTATGCGTGCAGCCTCCACGCCTATCTGATGCGAACCAGGCGAGTCAGTTGGTAGATGCGTGGCGAACGTTGTATTTAACGGTCGGTTTGGCAGTGAAAGTGGCAGCTTCGTTGTTTCCCATTGTTGCACAGCACGGAGGAACGTTGTTCAGTGCGCTATGTGAAATGTGAATGCATCAAATAAAAAGTGGTAACATTCTATTGATAATGTGTAAGCAACTAGCAAAGTGACAGCTCAATTGCAACAAAATATATATGTAAAACATATAAGCAACGTTAACGTTAAAGAAAGCATTTTCAACGGCGTCATACAGTCTTCAAGCAGCTGGTAAATGTTTGCTTTAAACTTTTCTACACTATTAAATAGTATAAGTTATTGCGTTGTGCGGTAATTTAAACATTTCGTACACATTTTCACACACACACACACACACATATACATACACACACTGCGCTCGCATTAAACAACATATTTTGTGTTTGTGGGTTTCTGCTGTGGCCGGCAGAAGCGGCGTATACGCAATCTGACTATGCTGTGCGCATATTTGGGTTGTTGTAGTTGCTGTGCACGCCAGCTGGTGAGTTAATTTTATTGGTTTCTTGTTTGTTTGTTTGTTTGTTGCTTGTTCATCGAGCGCTTTGCTAGTTTATTTGTTTGTTTACTTTGCTTAAATGCTAAGACTGCTACAAGCGCTACAAGTTTACGAGCAAAAGCACAACAATTTTTATTAATTTTTATTACTTATCTACAAAATCGTTGACTTAGTCTCCGACAAAAACTTGGCCTTAACTTGCATTGCCTTCATCAACTTGCAAACTTTTTGCAGAATGATTGTTGATTTTGTTTGATCTGAGTCGTGTTGTTGATTTCATCGCTGTTGCTCTTGTTTTTATTTGATTTTAGTACTTTGGCAAAGTCAACATTCGTTAGCTGAAATTTCGCTCACGTTCCATTCGACCGAGTTCTCAATTTCATGAGTTTTGATGCTGTCCGCCTTTATTTGTTCCGCCGCTCACTTCTCGCTGTCTACGTTATTTTCCTTAATACCAACACCAATACCACTATTATATTTCCATTTCTACTATTTGAAGTTTCTTGTCTCTGTGTTTGGTTTTCGTTCTTTGCCCATGCACTGCATGGTGCCTTAGTGTTTTCTTACTATATATATACATATATATATATATATATATATATAAGTGTATATATGTATGTATGTATGCGTATATGGTTTTAGCTTTTTGTGCATGTATTTGTGCGCTGGCATTAGTGTTAGGGTTTTTGCGGCGCTGTCCTTAAGATTATTTATGTGGTGATTAGCTGAGCTGAATTATTGCGCAAATTATCAAGTGTGCTATAAAATTTCTATGCTATTTATTTGCACAACTTTTAGCGAGGATCACGTACCACGCCATCCAGTCAACAGAAACCAACCAGCCAACAAGCAACTCCTACCCAACACCGCCCCATTACCCCATTGCGTCTCATGTGTATCATTGAGCTCTGGTTTTGGTGCGTGTGAGTGTAACAAATTGCGCGAGTTTGATTTTTAAGTGTGAAAAATTGAGGAATGAAATTGGATTGGATTAATTATACTCGATGGCGCTTAGCTTGATGCTGCCATTAAGCTATTAAGCGATGGGAATTAAATGATATCTTCTTGTTGTTGTCTAAGTCGAAGTGAAAAGCAAATAGAGAATTTTATAAACAAATAAAATGAATTCAATTAAATTCAAGCTGTTTAAGAAATTTCAAATATATTCTCAATCTGCAAGCTTGAATGGTTAACTTTTGGGCAATATTTTATTCTCGTTTAATATTTTAAATTATTACAAAAGCTCTGCCTTACATACAGCTAATAATCATTGAATTGCAAATATTGTATTTAAATTTTATTCATAAATTGTATCATCATTAGTAGGCATTAGTCGTCAAGTCGAACTGATAGAGCTGCAAGCACAATAATATTGTTATAAATTTTCAATACTACAATTAGCAACAATCATTTGCATTTGAGCTTAGTGCCCCTCCCATCCAAGCATTTTTGAATTTCGTCGAAATTTCGGAATTGTTTACCCCAAAAGCATTTGGCTAAGCACAATTGGCATGGCAACTAATTTCCTGAGCTCTGCACAAATTAATTACATTTAAATAAACACGAATGGAAGGCAGCAAACATGACTGAGCCACAAGCATCAGCAATAGAAGCGTCAGCATCAACATCAAAATCAGCATCAGTTCTAGCACAACCCATAACAACAACAATAGTCAGCCACAACCAGATACAAGCAAACTTAATTCAATATTGCTTACGAGCTGACGGCTACTTTAAGCCGCTTACAATGAAAGATACACACACACACACACACATAAGCACAACAAACACACACAAAATAGGTTATAAATTTCAATGAATTTGCCACCAAAACAAAATCATTAACTTTGCTGCAAAACCAATGAATGTACATGAACAGAAAATTTCACTTTGTTGTGGTAGCCAACAGCGTTCGACACCAAAATGGTCACTGGGTGGTGGGTGAGCTTGGTGCCAGTGGGTTGAGCTTGGTGGCCGGATACAGCTCAATTTTGTGAGCAGGCACACATTTAGGCATGGCCACAAATTGGTATGATATCGTAGTGTAATGAAAGTTAAAGCCAAATTTAATGCTAGGATTAGCGATAACAGTGATAGGCATGAAGATGAAGCCAGTAGGTTCACTCGTCCAGCCGTTTGCATATGGCAAGGCAAATGCCTAATGATTTATGACTGCGACCAGTCAGCAAGTTGCTGCTCCACTCACCGACTCTGGAAATGCGCTAAAAAAAACCCCTGCTACATGAGCCGAACCGAACTGAGCCGTGCCGAGCAGCATCGAGTTGCTCGGGCCAAAAAGGGTGTGGGAATGCGGGGCCAACAAAGTAAATTCAATTTTACGTTTCACAACTCAGCATGATTCCTATCAAAGTAGAGCCGCTTCGGTAACCCAATCCCAGACTGCTGCTGCCCACATCATATACCGCAAACTGATTACTTTTGCTTTCCCCAATGTCCCTCGAGTGTTTGTATGTCTGCATGTCTGTTTGTGTCCTTGTTTGTATGTTTTGCACTGTCTGTGCTGATACCTAAGCATCAGCGTGGGTGACACACAAAAATAAGCTACAAAATAACATATATGAAAAAAATTATAAAAACAATCACTGAAAACTTGCAGAGCATCAAAGCGCACTCATCGAGCGCTCCACGAAAGTTTGACAACATTTTCTCTGTAAGAGAAGGGGCTATTTTTATACCCTATACCCTTAAAAAAAAATGATGTGCTTAATGGGTTTGCTTGAGCGCACATAAAAGCTAAACTTAAAAAAATGTTACACTACTTAATTATTTAAGCTGTAAGATAAAAACAAGATTAGAGATTGATATGTACTTTGGATTCTCACCGAGAGCAAAATTAGGAAATGGTACTTTGCTCAATTAAATTAAGAACTTTACCGATTTCTTTGCTTCATTGATATTCTTAAAGTTTTTAGGAAGCTTTATCGTACGGGTGCCTATGTGCCTCCTTGAAGACTGGCACTGGTAATCTGATAGTCAGGTTCTATTTACAATTCTATTTCATAACAAACCCGAAGTGTTTTCTTTCTTTTTGTTTGTAAAATAAAAACTTTCAAGTGAATTTCGTAGGGCTGTTGCTTTGAAGGAGTAGCGGTCTTTCATCAAATTGCTTCCTATAGCCTTCGCCCGTAAAAGTTTATACAATTTAATGAGCAGTGCTTTTAAATTGTTGTTAATACGGGAAATTAATAAGTTAAGTAGTCGTTAGTTGGTAGAGTGCAAAGTTAGTTGGATCGATTGAAAAAGTTGCCAAGTTTCAGAGCATAATTGCTGAAGTCGGCGCAATCAAGCATACAGACTATTGCCACACTTCGTTTCAGAGGAAGCCATTACCAGATATTTTAAGAGCAAATTTTGAGTCCGCCTCCTTGCCCTGCGATCCAAATTTTAAGCCGCGTTTTATTTTCACTCGAGCAAAGTGCAGTCAACTGTAAAAATATTGGCGAAACTCACAAAATGCCAAACAGCGCAAGCATTTGACATAAATCCTTATCATCCTTTGTGCACAAATTGACATTGCACTTGTAAGACGATTGGCGAGACATACCCCATCACTTGAGAGCATCAGCTCCCAGTCCCTCGTCTGGCCCGGGCGATGTGCATTTTAACTGAAAATCTGTGGCTTTGTTTTCTCTATCAACATTTCAGCTATCTTTGGCTGCTTGCTGTAGTTCAATGTTTGCAGCACCAGCTTCCTTCCCTTTGATAAGCTGTAAGTTTTGGCACGTCTTTTGCTCGAGTGACATACAGCTTATGTCGCAGGCAGAAAATTAAAATTCATAATGTTGACTTTAATGGAGTTAATGTTGAAATATTCAAGCTGGCGGCTTAGATGCCGCACATCTCGTAGATTAGCTCGTAGCGAGACATTTTATTATGCGACACGCAACCACTTTTAGATACCTATAGCAATGCCATGGCCCCCAACGCACAACTTTGACGTTATTAAATTATGCGGAGATTTGCGCAATTTTTGTTTCCCATTTTTTTTTTTTTTTTTTTTGAGCCTCTTGACGTTTTAATGATGAGCCAGCACAGCACGTTGACTGCTTGACTAGGCTGAAATTAAATTATTTTATTGCCGGAAAGCTTGGGAAATTCATTAAATCATGCTTTCACGCAACTTTCAGCACACACATTTTTGGCATGCCCAAGTAGGACTCAAAATTAGAGCTGTCTGCGTACTTCCGTCAATTTGGCGCCCTGTTGTGCTTGCTTACTGCTGTTAGACAGGCATTGTGGCATTGATTGAACTCGAGGTTTTGGCTTTTATTAGGACGTGCCGTTGTTAACATTTCAAGGCTACATTGTCTCTAGCTTTAAAGAAACGTCTTTTATTCTAAACGTATTCAAAGTTCAGAGTTTAATATTTTTAGCTGCGCTTTGGAGCGATAATCCTGATCAGACGAAAAACGTAAAAAAAAAATCCAAATAAATAAATACCCAAATCCGCCAGAAGCAGACGAGGGAGTTTTATTTATGATTTTGACAGAGAGCGCCCTAAAAATGGGAGTCGAGCCAAATGCTAAGCCTCAAAACCAAAACAATCATCAAATAGAATCATAAAAACAGTTAGCGCCGATAATAAATTTCGAACAGAAACATAAAAGCGATGCCACGTGGTAGACGAGTGCGACATAAAATTGCCATCGATTGATTCACCTTACTGTTTGTACATACAAATAAATGTACATTTATATATATAAATTTATACATA